CGACCGCATATTCAGTCTGCCTTGACCAGCTACTTTCCGATCTCATTAGTAGGATAGGCACAGTAGCTTCGAACCCTCCTGTCTTCTCGTCCGAATCTTGTGTAACGATTTGCGGTTTCTTCTGTGGTGCGCGCCATAACTGTGCTCAGTTGTCGGCTTTCAATTAAAGTACCCCGACAAGTATGTTTTCTTCATTTCCTTTGCCGTCCGTTCTTCTGGCACGTACATCTCCTGTATACTGGACGATGCGCTCGAGCGAGAGGTCCTTTGCATGAAACATCACCCTTGCTGCCTGGGATGTCGATGTCACGCCTGCTTCCCTAGTGCTGGGCGCCGCCGGTCAGTATAGAAAAGTTCTATCGCATCGGAGTTAATCTTCACAATCATTTATCTGCAGCTTTCAATGTGCGTATTGACTGAATATTCTCAACATCCTTCCCATTGTCTTCTGCCTCAGATGTATGCTTATTCAAATCCATACACCAACTTCCCTTCCCTCTCACTAGTGGATGACTGGATCACAAGCAGCCTTTAGAGTGGCACAGCTTCTACGGCTTTCAAGGCTAAATCTGGTGCTGCCTTTCTAAACGGAATGTGAGATCTCTAGTACTTGTGCCCCCGCGATGCCCCGGGATTGCTTCAGACTTGAATTCCTTCATCGGATGTTCAAATTAGTGCTGTACAACGTTACTCAATGGCGTTAAACATGATATCAATATGGTATCAACTTGAATGTGAAGTAAGCCTGTGTGATTCCTACAAAAAACCTCGAAAATCTTAATGTCCTACTTTTTCTAGGAGAGGTAAGGAGTGAAATGCACATGGGCTGACCTGCCAACATCAATCATGTTGGCTTTGTGCATTGCATGCAATATTGAGTCGCTGCGTTGTGTATTGAACGCCCTCAAGGCTCGCAGATAGGTTTTGAGGATGTGCTGATAGCTATGTACAGTAGATGTATGCGATAAGAAGTATCAAGCACATCGATGTACGGGTTTCGGAAATTGTGTTTGAACAAGATTTATTTACCAGCTGGAATACATGAATATGTACACTACAGGTTCCAAGGCATTGTGTTGAACAACCTCAATGGTTCCCTGATATGTTCATACGATGAGAAGAGAATATAGAAGAATGACATTATCTGGATCAAGTGAGTGCTCAGCCTTTGTGGATACTGGTGGCAAGTAAAGCCTAGACAGCAACAGGAATGAAGCTGAACTGAGTCTTGGCAGTAGTTCCTGTAACGCGTACGTTCTGCAAAGATGAACACACCGCAAAGCTACGTTAGCTCCAGAAGGGATGAGTTCACCATTCAAAACTCACATTACTGCCATCGACACCCCAGAAAAGCTGAGTTCCATCGCTGGTCATGACATATCCAGTCCAATAAGTGTTAGAAATGCTAGGAAATGAATGTACAAATCAGCCCATGATTTTCATTTTTGAGCTCTCCCGGTGGCAAAAACTGTGGGCACTCAAAAAAAAACACCACTTACAGATTAGCTCCCGAAATGATCCATTGCTGCGCGCTAGTTCCAGCAGCAGCGACTACATTGTTTCCCGAAATAGCAGGGACATTCGGTGTCCGAGCTTGGGCAGCAGAGCTTCCAGTCTGGAACGATGTGATCACTCCGTCACCAGTAATTTGCCACTAATGTCGAGATCGTCAGTGATAATTGAAACAAGAATGGGGCGAAAGGAGTCGATGGTCTATGCCCGAGCCTTGTTCACTTACAACTTGAGCGGTAGAAGTGTTAACAGTGATGTTGCCTCCAGCAGAAGCAGGTCCTGCAACCTTCTGGCTGGTATTACTGGTGACCTGAACTTGGTAGAGACCGGGAGGAACAGCGACGGACATGATGAAAATGAAGAACTCGACTGGGTTGGTGTGAGTGAAAGTGGGTGAGGATAAGGAGATGATTCTTGAAGGCACATTTTCCTCAGTCTTTATACCCAAGACATTCAACCAAATACGGAAGCTTTGTAAAGATATGCGAACCTTGCTCTGACGATGAGAGAGTTAACCCACTTGAATAGGACAACAAGGAGTTGGGGCGTTAAAATTGGTGCATGCCAGCTTTCTGTCTTCCTGTCCAGACTCGTTTCGGATGAAGAACATCACCGATCCAGATTAGTGTAAGCACTTAGTTATTGTGCGTACGCCTACCACGATAGATTCATGGATATGCCAGCCTGTAAGTAATGTCTGGTCATCGTGACTCATAACCCAGTTCAAATGGACTCAGGCCCAACATTCCGAACTTCAGCTTTCAAATACTTGGAAGAACCACAAAACTCATCTAAAACCAAATACACTGCTAGTGGCAAGAACTTTTTTTAGTCAACATACGAGGTGAGATCTTCCTTTGTTTCGGAGGGTGGTGGTATATTACTCTGAATACCTTGGTCGTAAAACTTTCAAGTTCTGATTGGGGAGTGTATTTTCTGTCCAAGAAAATTCTTATCTGCCTCCGTGAAATCATTATGAGTCCTAAGAGCGAGTTGAGAGCATTAGCAGAGGGTTTCCCAAGGATGCCGTTACTGACTTTGAGTTCAAGATCAACAATCATCCAGGACTAAGGTTTACCAATAGTTGGGGTCAACCATTGCTCTGGAGAGATTCAATTCATTGAGTCTAAGGTTTCTCCCAAGCAGCGTGCGCGCTAGAACCAGTAGGTGCACGTTCGACATGGTTGGGAAATGTCCTACAAAAGGGGGGACGGAGATCCCAGTCAACGATGAGATTGAAATGTCCTTTAAGATTTCCTGAAATCTTCTAAAGTTTAGACCAGCATGATTAACGGAATTCAGTACTATTCACGAAATAGAACTTTAGATCTTAAGCGTGCCGTGCAATTTCAACAGTGGGTTGCCCGAAGGACAATCTGCTTTAGTATAAATGATTATTCATTAGCACGCAAGAATGGAGACAAATTTTGCGCCACGCTTACCAAACCGTACAGGTACTTCGTAGATCTGATTTCCAAGTCTTGAGGAAGCGCCCGAGTGAATTTTCTGGCGCGATGTTCACGCTATAGCAGCGAGGAAGCTCTTATCAAGAAACAGTACCTTGGGAAATATCTTTTCCCTAAAGCACAACCCGCGATTCCGCCGAGATGTTGGAGGACTATACCTTGACTATGACTTTTCCCGCTTTTCCTGGAAAAGGGGATGTCATTGAATCTTTCTAAGAAGACGAGGAGAGGGAGAAAGATAGGCCGGTTGGACTCCATTCTGCTTCCAAAGCTCCTTCATGCGCTTGGCTGATAGAATCAGCTGCAGGAAAATTTGGTTGGGATGTTCAAGGTACTCGGTAAGCCACGACCAGCCTAGTGCGGATCTCGAGACTTGCCAGAAATCAAATTGAAGTGCAGCAATATTTGAAGAAAAGACCCATACCTTCATTTGCCAATCAGGTATGTAAATATGCCGGGTTCTCGACGCGAAATAATCAGCGTGAAGAAGTTGCGTGTCTACAAGCCCTATAAACGTAGCGACCATCAGTTGAGCCTGTTAAAGCACCATATTTATTTCGGAATATCGTGACGAACCTTGGATACTTAAAATTAGCGTGGTTGAAGTGTGGCACTTCTCCTGCAAGCGAAAGATCAGATTGAGGCCCAGTCCTGTATCGACGTCGCTAAACATAATGCGAGCCTCCGTAATCAATTTAGAGCCTGCAAAGTTTCGAAGGTAGTTGATACTTTGAAGCATCCGAGGGAGTTTCTGTGAAAGCTGTAAGAGCTATGTAGTTCTGTTACGGCGGAGTCGTGTCTTTCCAGCTCTGCTCCTCCAAATCGCCCGGGATCGAAGATTCGGTCGCAGCCGATGAGTGCAATTCGGGCAATCATTCCTCAACGTATGGTTGTTTATTCGAAGGCGCGGAGAAGTTGAGACTCGATGCAGCTATGGCGGAGTTCTATCTTTCCTGCCCTGCTCCCACAATCAGATGGGCTGGTGTAGGCTGGTGTTGAAGATATGGGAGTAGCCAATGACTGAAATTCGGACTGTCCTTCTTCGAGTAATCGTTCATGAAAAGGTACGGCGGATGTTGAGCCTATACTGCAAGTAGAATTTGAGACGGTTTTGCAAGCTGTATACGCCTCCTTCAAAGCTGCGACATGGTGCTCCGCAGGTTTCATCAGGATACTGATACAGCATTTGATGTTGTCGAAAGAGCAGATTGCGAGAAGCCGACAATAGATCCCTCTTCCTTCCTCTGGTCATCTCTTTGCAGAACTTCCAATTTCTGATCCATCGTCTGAATCTTTGTATTCAAAATATTCCAATCATTCTCCAAAGTTGCACCTCTGGCCTTAACATCCTCCCTCAAACCACGCGTCACTTGAGAAGCACGATACCTGGCAGCATGACGGACGATCTCGGTAGTACTGGAAAGGACGCTGGGCCGGGTGGCATGCAACCCAGATTTGACCAAGAAGACGAAGAGATTGCGGGGCAATAAGCAGCGCGATGTTCTTTGTAGGAAATTTCGACCCGCAAATTTCCAGTTTTCGACCTATGTAAAGGCACCTCAGTGACCTCACACCGATTGGTTAGAGTCAAAGAACAGGAAACTGCCGTGATTCATTCCGGCAAGAGTTCAGCACTATTTTCGATTCGCAGAAAGTGAATTCCTAGTCTCGCCAGCCATGAAAAGAAAGCTCGAAACATACTCTCCGGACCCCCTCCACTTGTGGCACATTTACTTTTGATACCACCTGCTCTGATTTGAGCGTACATTCAACGACCAAAGGATAAGTGAAAAAAGAGGAATAGAGTTCTTGCGTATATACTATCTCTGGCAGAAAGATAAGGGCAGAAAGACCTAGAAAGACGAGGTTCCTGAAGATCTGTCAGGTACATAGTCCGAAGCAGAATGTGAATTCTGACATTTAAACATATCGTCAAGCGTGCAGGCAACGCATGAACTTGAAGGAAATGTGCGGCGGTCACGGGGCTCAAACCCGGCCTAACAACCCTCTTTCAACCCAAACATGTTGATCCAAGGCCTGTCGCCGGGCGAACTTCCTAAATCTGATGATATACTGCACTTTTTCCTCACTCCCGGCCATAAGAGTGTCTACGATCTAGTTTACGCGGCTGAGCGGTTGACTTTGCTGACAACAAAAGACAATAAAGCCAAGCTCGTGAGCCTTCGAGTGCTTGGTTATCTAGTTCTTCTTGCTCCAGGGCCAGATCATAAGGCACTTGCGGAGATTGCTACTGCTGTGAGAACCACAGACTTGAGTGATTTATATGTCTTGGGGGAAATTTATAGCGATTGTTTTGTCCGTTCCTGTGAGTTGTACCGCAATATTCAAGGTACGCTCACTGACATACTTTTAGTCTATAAGGTTAAAGGTTCTCAAACTCCATTCACCCCAAGCCATCCCAGTCGCCCATCGTTTGATGCTCGTGTTCAAGAAATCAAAGCAACTATACTTCAGGCCCCAAAAAATCATTCCGAGGCCAAAGATAAAGTCGGTTATACGATGTTGCTGGTTTCAGTACATTGACCAATCGTTTCACCTAGGCTCTTGTACGTGATGGTTATCGCTGTGTCGTCACTGGAACAATCGATACAGAGTGCAAAGGTTTTTTCGATCTCACTGAGCTCAAGAAATCCGGTACACTTCGAACAGAGTGCGCTCATATCATACCAGAAGCTACGTACTTCGGTTTGGATAAAGGAAAGACGGTATGCCGTAGCATCTTTTGATTTTCTGTATACATCGATTGACTTAATTCTATCGCAAAAAGATTACTCGGCATCAGTTCTAGCAGTGTTCGACCGCTTCGGGGTTCAGTTTGACAAATTGAACGAGGGGAACATCCATAGTTTATGGAATGTTATGACTTTGGTTCAGCCAATTCACGACTCTTTCGATAGGCTAGAACTTTGGTTTGAAGCCACAGTGAGCATACTCCTTTACGCCTTGACGGTTTTCTCATCGTTCGTGCTCAGGACAATGAGCACGAATATTTCATCAAAACAACTGATGAAACCAACCGACTATTGTCAGAATTAAACGGGCCTATCACGCTAACATCCTCCGACCCCAATGTTCCTCTTCCAGATCCGAAGCTCCTTGCTTTCCATGCTGCAGCTTGTAGAGTTGCATATCTCTCTGGTGCCACTGAGTATATGGAGGAGATACTGAGAGATTTCGAACGCTTGAATGTATTAGCAGAGGATGGAGGGTCTTTGGCAATTCTGGAACATGCCTTTTTCCAGGCAGGATTGGTTCGAGTTGAGGTTTAGAATCTTTGACGTTGATCAGAAACCTCTACTGCAGTCTATCTCCCGCATCGGAGCCGCGGCGTCTCTTGCTTAGCTTGTCTATCTTGGTCGCAACGAACGGTCCTCACATCTCACGGCTGGGGCCCCCCTGTGATTATCTCCCCTTCCTGAACTTCATCTTTCCTAACAATCACATTTCCCCGCCTCTCTAAGAAACACCCCTATTCCATTCTACACCGTTCTCCCCCGAATTCCCTTGCTTACGCAGTCAGTAACGAATATTACTCTGTGTTCAGAATCATGTCGGCTTTTGACTCTTCCCGAAATAACAAGCAAGAGATGAAGCTCTTACTCCGTCGCGCAGTGAACCTTCGGGAAACGGTTGCTGGCATATACTAGAAACAGATAATGCTCCAGCTAAAAAACTTCGCGCTCGACAACGAGAACGAGGAGACCCGGCAGAACATCATCCCTTTGCGAGATTCTCCTCTTCTTGCTTGCATTAGGAATGGGTCTACACGCCCAACTGCGGGTCTCCAGGAGGCTTCAAGTAGCCTATACGCCCTGAGGGCTTCAAAATCGGTCCTTTGCCCAAAGACTGGTTCAATGTACCTTCGGACATCGATACTAAATTCCAATCCCTTCTAGACTGGATGCGTGCGGGATACGCAAAGGGCAAAGATGCACATGCTATTGCATATGATAGGGACGCTCGTTAAATTTATGTCGAGTTCCCCGCACCCATTTATGCTATTTATTCTGTCGATAACTGGTGTACGACTCGACCAGAAGGGCTTGGGCAGGTAAAAGCCACTTTCTTTGCCATCCAATAATGGACTTGTAGTTTAAATCGTCTCTAACTTTACTTGTATATTCACACCTTGTGTTTGCTAGCTCAACTTACTACATGTACATATTCTATATTCTGGAAGCACTTGTAACGTTGTACGTCAGGGTATAGGCTGAAATAGTCTCGATCCATTGATATACAATATCTCGTCCGAGTACAACAAGATACCCAAAACCCAAACAGTATACCCGAAAGGAGGAGAGATAAACGTCCGTTTGAAGCAGTTCGCACTTAACAGAAAGTGATCGTGAGGCCGACCTTTCGCAAGGATGTGTGAGCGCTGCACAAGTAAACTGACGATTTACTCACAGAACTATACCAAGAGATTATTGTCAGACTAAAGCAAAGATATCCCTGCTTCTCGTTGAAGAAAGTCCAGGTGACGGAAAGCAAAGCGTATCCGATTTGAGGAAACACATGACATTGAGAGGTGCAAGAGAACAAAAATGCTCAGGGGAGCAAGGAATTGTATTACAATTATTTGTCTATCTCGACCTTTCACTGTCTTCCGTTGTATACGTTCCCTTGCGATTTGTAGAGCGATCCGCCGAAAGATGTAGGAGAAATGCCCTCAATTGAGAAACGAAGGGAAAGACCATGAAGGTCACATCTCCGGGCCGGCAACAAATCGGCATCTATAACATATCAATATTCCCACACTCGGCTCTCATCCAATCAAATTTTACCGCCACTTGCCTTTCAGGAGGAAAAACCGGCACACAGCATGACTAGTATTGTGGGCTCAACAATCAGCTCGACTATCTTCTCCGCCAACTCTACTTCATTAGGACTCAATGACCGAACTGCTTTCTTCATGGACAACATCTTCGCTATAGGCTTTGGTCTTTCTCTCCGTTTCCTCATCACACTCATTTCGCGAGACTCCCCCTCGTCCTTGAAAGTAACAGGAACTCTGGTCGGCCTCTGGGAAGGCATTGTTTTATTGCATTTTACGCAGAAATGGCCTCGATCGTACGACCCGTATGTTGCTTATGGCGTGAGGATGTTCGTGGATCTTTTGGTTACTGAGAGTGTACCGAGGATGGTTTTGGTCGCGATATGGACCGGGTTAGGGATGGTATTGGCGGATGTTGGTCCGGGAGTATGGAAGGATTCGGGCGGGAGGAGAATTTGGAGTCGGTTCAAGAGGGACATGAAGGTTATGGGGAGAAGGATGCCGAGAATGCCTATGATAGCGATACCGTTCTTGGATCGACCCAGGACAGTGAGGTTCGTTCCTTCATCAAGGAGTAGAACAACATCTGTGGTCTCACCGACTTCATCTGCGGTTTCTGGACCTACATATTCTGTTGTGTCGACAGCCACTGCTCCTACTGCTCCTACTGCGACGACTAGGACAGTACCTCGATTTGCCGGTACCCCTGCTGCATCTGTTTATTCCACGACGACAACGTCAAGTACAACAGCTTCCTCTGTGACTCCTCCTGAACCAACAGAACCTCCTGTATCAACAGGGCCTGCTGTCTCTGTCCATCCTCCCACACCTGGAACCACTCCCACTCCCCGTAAGACCCGGGTACCCGGGCATTTCATGCGAGATTCGGAGACAGAAACGGAAATAACTACACTGCCGAGGAACAGGCTATCGAGGAGGAAATTTCCTTACACAGGTCCCTCAACAAATTCTTCCGGCTCTGCCTCTGGGTTGACGACAGACAACGAACTACTCGGCACTTCTCGCGGGTCAAGATATTCTTTGTTCCCTGTTAGTACCAAGAAACCCGATTTACGGCTCACAGAATCCGATTCGGACGATGACGAAGGCGACGACGATACGTCCTCTACTACGACAGAGACGCCCACTCCCGATGCAGGTACATTAAGGGATATTTCTCTCGAAGTCGTGGAAGCTGCTGAAGCAGAACAATCAGAGCAGTTAGATCAAATTACCCCCACGCAGTCACCCGTAACCACAGAACATCCTATCCTCCCTACCCTACCAGACACTACTAACGACCTCAACGGCAATAACAACGAACTGCTCATTACGGGTATCGACCTCCCTACCGTGCCTAAAACGCCTTTGCCACCTGCCGATCAGGTTCCGGATATACCTGATGTGGATGTTGATTACGATAGTTGGGAAAAGGTTGAAAAGGAAACTCCGTTCGAGTTTCCTTTGAAAAAGTGGAATACCAAAGGGAAGGCCAAGGTCAAGGACGACGAACTCGATGCTAAGAGCGAGGTCAGCGTCGAAGGGAAAGGCAAAGCCAAGGACGACGAACTCGATGCTAAGAGTGAGTTCAGCGTCAAAGGCAAAGCCAAGGACGAAGGGCTCGATGCTAAGAGCGAGGTCAGCGTCAAAGGGAAAGGCAAAGCCAAGGACGACGAACTCGATGCTAAGAATGAGTTCAGCGTCAAAAGCAAAGCCAAAGAAGAAGGGCTCGATTCAAAGAGTGAGTTCAGCATTAGAGGAAAAGGCACGGTCAAGGACGACGAATTTGATGCTAAGAGTGAGTTCAGCGTCAAAGGGAAAGGGAAGACCAAGACTGTAACGCCTGCCCTCAAGCTCGCACCTGGAGTACAAGCAGCACAACCTCGATCCCAGCATCCTACTCCAGGTCCACCCGAAAGCAAGACACCAGAGCCTATCACCCCCATTCCCCCCCGCTTACCACCCAAAGAGAACTCCAAGCCGGTCAACACCTCTAATTCCTCTTCTTTCAACTTCTCCACCAATCAAGATCCCAAACCCCTCATAGACCCCAAGAAATCTACCCTTATCTCCTCTGCGAAACCCGAAAAAGCCATGTCCGAACCTGGATGGCTCGATTCCTTTGGCGACTTGGTTGGTAAGAACAAGAATAAGACAGGGAAACCGACCAAGACGAAATCTGTCGTGTCAGCGGTTTCTTCGGTCGCCGGGATTACCGATGCGTTCGTTAAGCCTGGCGCTACCGGAGCTGGGGCTGGTACCGGATGGGGATTAGGAAGTGCTGGTCGGTCACCGTTGAGCGGAAACGCGACACCTCCAGCAGCGGATGAGACGAAAAGCAACTCCTGGAGTAATCCTTGGGGTAGTGTGAAGGCCAATACCAAGGCCCCTTCCGAGATCAACGCATCGGTAGATAAACACAAATCAGAACGATCCCGACCCTCTCCCCCGCCAACATGGTCGCAGACATTCCCTGATGGTGCTCCGAATTTGTTTCCAGATGACTCCGCGTCGGGGTATCAGGATTTCACTACAGATAAGGATAAGAAGGAGAAGGAGGGAGGATCATTTGTTGGTGGTGCTACTACTGGTAACATCACACCTTCCGCCAAAGCTGCCTCCACCAAAGCACCTTCTGCGAAAGCACCTTCCACTGTGTCGGTGTCTCCTAAAGGAACACCCGAGCTTCCTCAACCGATGCCACCTTCCGTTAAAGCGCTATCAGCGAAAGCACTCTCCACAGTGTCAGTATCTCCTAAAGAACGCTCTGCGTCCCCTCGAACCGCGCCTAAACTTGACGATGGCGCCGCAGGCGATTCATCCAGCCCTCCGGAAAACGAGACAAACGATAACGAAGCGGAGAAGGCTAAAGAAAAAGCGAAAACAGAGGCAGACGCGAAAGAAGAAGAGGCGGAGGAGGAGAAGGAAGTAGACTCTGATACCGAACTTCTTCCGTCGAATGCTTCTTCCTCCGCAAAACTGGAGTTATCGTTGGATCTCCTGAAGCAGATCAATGGATTGCGGAAGGTTCAGAAACAGGGAGATGGATATGATAAGCAGATCGCGAAACAGATACGGAAGCTTGAGAGAAGGGTCGAGAGAATTTCGAATACCGGTATGTGTCAATTCTCTTCTACAATCGTCTTCAGGCGAAAGATTCACCGTGCTTAGATTGGACCTCCTCCAAAGAAAGCAATACACTAGAGGTATCCCCCAACCTGAAAATCGCCATAGAGGAGATCGAAGACCGACTATGGAAGCTCCTGACCAACAAAGATGCAAGAAATATTGGGTATACTCGTTTAGAAGTGACGATGCCCAAGGCGGCGAAAGGGAACAAAAGCAAGACGCAACAATTCAAATCTGCTATGAATGAGGCGTTGGATAGGTCAGTAACGGGTTAATCTCACTCTTTGCTTCGCTCTATGCTGTTTTGTTTTTTCTTCGCTTTGCTTTCAGCCTTCTTTTTCAATTAATTAACACAACTTTTTCATCATCCCTATTATTTTGATAGTCGTGGACTCGAGTACATTGAAGACTCAAACAACGGGCGACTTCTATACATCACTATCCCGTTCAAAACTGGTCTGGAGGAAGGTAACGAGCCATAGGCTCCCCCGTTCCCTTGATGCGCCGTCGTTTATCGTCCCGATAAAACTCAAGATGACTCGACTTTTCATGAACAACGATACGACCATGATAGGAATATCTTTGGGCGTCGAAGAAGAACTCACTATAACTTTAGATCATGACAGTTACGCGATACGAAATAGTGGATATGGCTATTCTCTTCACTCATCTCGTTTACGGATATCTACCTAACCATCACCACAATCTCTGTGCCTATCCACGCCCACATCTCCACATGCGCACACCATTTTTCTCTATCCCCTGCTACTGAAATGTTCTGCCTTGTTTTGCAACTTGTATTACCTCCACTCTCTCGTCAAAGTCATTCCTATCTCTTTTGTCTATGTCGTTCTATTGAATCTCTTTATATCTTTTACTTTTTCTTTTCTCGTCTCTGTTTTGCCAATGTTTGTTTACAACTTTTATCGCTCTATTTGTTAAATTGATGCTTATTTGAATATCATCCGGTGCATTCTTGGGCATGTAGTGGTCGCGTTCGCTTTGCATTCCCCAAATGTCTGCGAAAGGTCTCTAGTTCAAATCCGAATTTGTCCATAAGATGTTTGGAGGCAACAAAGTTTTGTCCACGACATCATCGTATACTGGAAATTGCGGCACCCGCCTCTCGCTACGGTTCAAGACAACAATGAGGAAATTGCAGAAGGAGTCGTCGATAGCTAAACATTCCCACATCTTACTTTCCTGCATTTTTGAAAATTCGCCTCTCTCCCTTTCTCCGCTTCTCTCTGGCACTCGTACTTCTTCATACTACTCGCATACTTCTCGCATACATCGGTGTAGGATATTGGTTGTCTTTCTAAGTGTCTGCCGGACTCCTTCTCTTACCTACTGATCTGAGATCTCTTACTCGTACTCCGACTCTTCTCACTCTAACTGTTACCTGTACTCATACTCATACGTCGAGCTTAAACGGAAGTTTACGCAAGGCTAATAGCAGGTGAGTTTAGCTCTCAGTGTTCATCGTTCGCACCTCGCTAAGGCCATCTCTACCTACAGGCTCGCATGGGCCCGCCCTCCTGAGGTCTACAAGTGAGATGGCCGCTTAGCAGTGCTACATCCCAACCGGTAGGAGAATTCATTACTCAGATTTTTTGACACCTATGTAGTATTCGCTGCCGTGCTCTACCGAATATAAGTACTTACATTGGGCTTCTTTTTCTCGCCTCTCTCTTTTCTTCCCTCACCGATTGTACTAGGTATGCTCAGTCAATGTCCTTATATTCTTGTACATATGTCTCATAGTCATCTCTCTCTTTTCTTCCCTCACCGATTGTACTAGCTGTAGTACATTGTTTTTTCTACCCTGCTTCTACCTTCCCTTCGCGTGGGTTGAGCTCGCTGTTGTCAACTTACCGTAACCGGTGTTCCGATGCCGGACCTGGGACGGAGCCGTGTATCAATCTACATTGTACATATCAATCAATCTATCTGTGTAACAGTTTTGTTACAACGGGGAGCACCGACGGCCGACGCTGAAGGGAGGCTATGACACGCTAAGCGCTGATACGACATCGCAGATTCACAGCCATCCACGATCCCTCTCATATAAAGTACAGACTTCATTTTGAAGTATCCTCAACGCTGGTCCGGTACGTGGCTCTTTGTCTCTTTTCAATCGCTATTTCCCTACTCACCCTTGTCTCCACAGTTATTCCAAAATTCGCTGGTCGTTCATTTTGAACTCGTTATCCATGCTCCTCCTACAAGTTCCACCTCGATTACTTTCTGTATATAGTCTGCTTGTTACCACGCTCCTCGGTATCACAGTAGTTGCAGTTCCCCTGATAGCTCCTGCTCCAGATATCGAACGGCGAGGTAAGCAATACTGAAAAGAAAGATATCACCGGGAAAATAAAACTGATCATTCATGTATATATAGGAACCTATCCACAACGGCCAATTATCGTGCTGGCAGCCAAAATCATGGACAAAGATGACTCGGACTACGTTCGAATCAATGAGAGATCCCTCACAGCAAAACTATGGCTCACCCTTTTCGTTGGTGCGCACAGAGGCTACGAGGTCGTACGCGGCTCCAATCCTTTGAAAATCACATCAAATATCGCGAGTCCGCGGAAGAGCAGTTCCGGCAGTAATTCGCGCAAGCCCAAAATCGATCGAAGTCGCTTGTTAACGTTGGGGAAAGATTCCGCTTCTTCACTGGAGGGAACCCTTAACGATGACCATCTTCTTCGAGAGATAGTCTGGAGAACTATAGGAGATGCTCAGGAACTCATACAGGCTATCAAAAAGCTGAAACCCGAGTCTACCGTGCTCGAGATTACCGATGATTTGAGCCATATTGCTGCTACCTTCGAATATCTGACGTTGGTCAAGAACAATGGTGTTGACCCAGTATTGGACGCGGACGATCTGAAGAAAGGGCAGGCAATACTTCGAAAGATGAGGGCTTTGAGGTCTGGGGAGAAGTCGCGTTGATGGTGTTCTGTTCTTTGTGGTCACTCGCCTGTACCGTAGTACGAAGCGTTACAGAAGTGTACTCTCCTGGAACCAAATACTCGATTCAGCCATGACTTGCGTGTTGACCCGGGAAAGGGTGACATTGAGCAACGTGGATGAAAACTGACTGAGGATGTGCGAATCGAAAATAGCGCTGAACTTTTGCCGGAATGAATCACGGCAGTTTCGCGTTCTTTAACTCTAACCAATCGGTACTGAGATCGTCGGTCATGCTGCAAGTTATCGTGCTTCTCAAGTAACGCGTCGTTCGAGGGAGGATGTTAAGGCTCAAGGTGCAATGTTGGAGAATGATTGGAATATATTGAATAAAGAGACTTGGACGGTGGACCAGAGATTGGCAGTTCTGCAAAGAGACGACCAGAGAAGGGAAGAGGGATATATTGTCGGCCTCTCGCAATCTGCTTTTTCGACAACATCAAATGCTGTATCGGTATCCTGATGGAACTTGTGGAGGAGCATGTCGCGGCTTTGAAGGAGGCGTATATACCTTGCGAAACCGTCTCGAATCTTGCTTCCAGTATAAGCTCAACATCCGCTGTACCTTTTCATGAACAATCACTCGAAAAAGGACAATCCGAATTTCAGTCATCGGCACTCCCGAATCTTCAACACCAGCCCATCTAATTGTGGGGGCAGGGCAGGAAAGATACAATTCCGCCATAGCTGCATCGAGTCTCGACTTAGCTTCCCCGCGCCTTCGAATAAACAACCATATTTTAAGGAAGGATTGCCCGAATTTCTCTCTTCGGCTGCGACCGAATCTTCGATGCCGGGCCAATTGGAGGAGCAAAGCTGGAAAGACACGACTCCGCCGTAACAGAGCTACGTAGCTCCTACAGCTTTCCCAGAAACTTCCTCGGATGCTTCGACGTATCAAGTACCTCCTCTGAAACTTCACAGGATCTGAATTCGCTACGGAGGCTCGTGACATGTTGGGCGACGTCGATTCAGAACTGGGTCTGAATCTTGCTCGTTCGCTTGCAGAAGACATCTCGCACTCTAATTAGGCCAATTTCAAGTATCCAAGGTTCGTCACGATATGCCGAAATAAATATGGTGCTTTGATAGACTCAATTGATGCTTGCTGCGTTTGTAGGGTTTATAGACATGCAACTTCACGCTGAATATTCCGCGTCGAAAAACCGTCACATTTGCATACCTCGTTGGCAAATGAAGGTATGTCGGTCTTTTCTTCAAATATTGTTGTACTTGAATTTCATTTATGGCCAAGTCTTGAGATCCGCACTGGGCCGGTTGTGGCTTGCCGAGAGTATTTTGAACATCTTAATCGGATTTTTTTTGCAGCTGATTCTATCAGCTAAGTACATGAAGGTGCGTTGGAGGCGAAATGGAGTCCAACCGGTCTATCTATCTCCCTCTCTTCGTCTTCTTCTCAGAAAGCCAATGTTATGCGGAAAAAGTGTCAGTCTCTCCACCATCCACCACGCTACTTCAGCAGATCATTCTTTCGTCACTTGGCTATTGTGCGTTGTGCTTGGGGGAAAAGATTACCCAAGGTACTGTTTCTTGATGGGAGCTTCTCCGCTGGTAAAGCGTGAACGTTGCATCAGAAAATCCACTTGGGCAATTTATTCTGCAGTTAACTTCCTCGGAACTGGGAAATCGGAATTACAAAGTACATGTACGGTTTGGTAAGCATGGCGCAAGATTTCTCTCCATTCATGCGTGCTAATGAATAATCACTTATAGTAAAGCAGATTATCCTTCGGGAAACCCACTGTCAAGATTGCACGGCACGCCCAACATCTGGAGTTCTACTCCGTGAATAGTACTGAATGTCGTTCATCATGTTGGCCTAAACTTTAGAATGGTTCCAGAAATCCTAAAGGACGTTCCAATCTCATCGTTGACTGGGATCTCCGTCCCCTTTTTTGTACGACGTTTCCCAATCATGTAGAACGTGTACCTACGGGTTCTAGTGTGCACGCTGCTTGGGAGAAACCTTAGAGTCCAATGAATTGAATCTTGATTGACCTCAACTGTCAATGAATCCAGGTCCTGGATGATTGTTGTTGTTGAACTCAAAGTAAGTGACTTCCATTTGTCGGCATCCTTTCTGCTAATGCTCCCAACTCATTCTTAGGACTCAAAATAATTTAACGGAGATAAATAAGATTTATCTTGGACAGAATTTACGATCCCCAATCGGAAAGTTTCACGACCACGGTAGTCAGAGTGAAATACTACTACTCTCTGAACCAAAGGTATTGACTAAAAAAATTCGTGCCACTGATGATGTATTTGGCTTTAGTGAATCGTATGAGTTTTGTGGTTCTTCTAAGTACCTATTCAAAAGTTGAAGTCAGGAATGTTGGGCCTGATTCCGTTCGAACTGGGTTATGAGTCACAATGACCAGCGATTACTTCCAGGCTGGCATATCCATAATCCACAGCGGTAGGCGTACGCACAATAACTAAGTTCTTACACTAATCTGGCTCGGTGGTGTTCTTCATCCGAAACGAGTCTGGACAGGGAGACAGAAAGCTGGCATGCACCAATTTCAACGCCTCAACTACTTTTTGTCCTACCCAAGTGGGTTAACTCTCTCATCGTCAGAGCAAGTCTCGCATATCTTTACAAAGCTTCCGTATTTGGTTGAACGTCTTGGGTATAAAGACTGAGGAAAACTTGCCTTCAAGAATTATCTCATTATCCTCACTCACTTTCACTCACACCAACCCAGTCAAGCTCTTCATTTTCATCATGTCCGTCGCTGTTCCTCCCGGTCTCTACCAAGTTCAGGTCACCAGTAATACCAACCAGAAGGTTGCAGGACCTGCTTCTGCTGGAGGCAACATCACTGTTAATACCTCTACTGCTCAAGTTGTAAGTGAACAAGGCTCTGGCGTAGACCATCGACTCCTTTCGCCCCGTTCTTGTTTCAATTATCACTGACAATTTCGACATTAGTGGCAAATTACTGGTGACGGAGTGATCACATCGTTCCAGACTGGAAGCTCTGCTTCCCAAGCTCGGACACCGAATGTCCCTGCTATTTCGGGAAACAATGTAGTCGCTGATGCTGGAACTATCGCCCAGCAATGGATCATTTCGGGAGCTAATCTGTAAGTGGTGTCTTTTTTTGAATGTCCACAGTTTTGCCACTGGGAGAGCTCGAAAATGAAGATCATGGGTTGATTTGTACATTCATTTCCTAGCATTTCTAACACCTATTGGACCGGATATGTCATGACCAGCGATGGAACTCAGCTTTTCTGGGGTGTCGATGGCAGTAATGTAAGTCATGCACAATAACTCATCCCGTCTGGAGCTAACGTAGCTTTGCGTTGTGTTCATCTTTGCAGAACGTACGCGTTACAGGAACTACTGCCAAGACTCAGTTCAGCTTCATTCCTATCGCTGTCTAGGTTACTTGCCACCAGTATCCTTGATCCAGATAGTGTCATTCTTCTATATTCTCTTCTCATTGCATGAACGTATCAGGGAACCATTGAAGTTGTTCAACACAATGCATTGGAACCCATAGTGTACATATTCATGTATTCCAGCTGGTAAATAAATCTTGTTCAAATGCATTTCCGAAACCCGTACATCGAGGTGCTTGATAATTTTTATCCCACACCTCTACTGTACATAGCTATCAGCACATCCTCGAAGCCTATCTGCGAGCCTTGAGGGCGTTCAATACACAACGCAACAACTCAATATTCCGTGCAATGCCAGAAAGCCAATGTGATTGATATTGGCAGGTTAGCCCATGTGCATTTCACTCCTTACCTCTACTAGAAACAGTAGGACATTAAGATTTTCGAGGCTTTCTGTAGGAATTACACAGGCTTACTTCACATTCAAGTTGATACCAGATTGATATCATGTTCAACGCCATTGAGTAATGTTGTACAGTACTGACTTGAACATCCGATGAAGGAATTCACGTCTGAAGCAATCCCGGGGCATTGCTGAGGCACAAATACTAGAGATCTCACATTCCGTTTAGAAAGGGAGCACCAGCCTCAGCCTTGAAAGCCGTAGAAGCTGTGCCACTCTAAAGGCTGCTTGTGATCCAGTCATCCACTAGCGAGAGGGAAGGGAAGTCGGTGTATGGATTTGAATGAGCATTACATCTGAGGCAGAAGACAATGGGAAGGACGTTGAGAATATTCAGTTAATACGCACATTGTAGGCTGCAGATAAATGATTGTGAAGACCAACTCCGATGCGATAGAACTTTTCTATACTGACCGGCGGCGCCCAGCACTAGGGAAGCAGGCGTGACATCGACATCCCAGGCAGCAAGGGCGAAGTTTCATGCAAAGGACTTCTCGCTCAAACGCATCATCAAGTATATAGGAGATGTACGTGCTAGAAGAACGGATGGCAAACGAAATGAAGAAAATACTTGTGTGGGTATGATACGAAATGACAATAATCCAAATGTGGCTTTGCCGGAGATTCAGTTCATGTACTCAGTGGATTGAATCTATAAGGAGGAAAAACCACTGCGGCCTCTGTGCGGCAAGGTATTCACCGAATCTTTCCTTGATAATCCGAATAACATCTTCCTCTTCATCGTCCTCCAGCTCTGTGACGCTAATGTGGTGGGAATTATAGAGCGCAATCGTGTAGTCATACTTTGGTGACAAAGGTAGTATACGCTGGAGCTTGAAGCGACAATGAGCACTCAAGTCCTCCATAACGTCGTCCATGATGTAGTGCCACAAGCTCGCTCGGTTGTCCATTGGCGGTGGTCGAGGGAGTTGATGTCTTTGGTGGTAGTCGATAAAATCTTGTATATCCAGACCAAACCCGTAGAATAACTTCCGGGGTTTGATGTATCCAGGCTCAAGCCTCCAACGTCGGACGTTGAAACGGTATTCTTCAGGAAGCGTCTTTTCCGTGTAACATTTCGGAAGGTCTTCAGGTTTAATCCGCTGTGGAAAGCAAGTTTGTAAAAATGAAACAAGCAGTGTGAACATTGCTCACACTTTTTGCGGGATTCGGACGCGGGCACGGGTTATAGATCTCTTCGTCTGGGATATACATGGATGGTAGCTTTGGAAGGTATGTATCTCAACAGAAGTTGTAAGTTTTGACCTTGCTTGCGCGCGTGAAGATTTTACCACGCTTTTTCAGATTATCACTTGGTCTCACGTTAGATTATCTTATCTGCACACCTTCTCATACCCACTATTACAACGATTTCAGTCGTACAATGTTCGTTTTGTTCAACACAATGCCTTGGAACGCGTAATATGTGTGTATGTATTCATGTATTCCAGCTGGAACATAAATCATTTGAATCACTTGCTTGTTATATGTAAAGAACTTCGATTCCTTGAGGTTTCCTTCTAACATCCGCCATTACCAATAAAGAATCGTACGAAACCTTGGTTTGTCGACATTTCCTTGCAATATATGTACCAAAATTGGTGGTGGAATAAAGTGTGGTGGCGGCAAAAAATCCGGACCAGTAGTAAATATTCGGGGTTGTGCACAAGTGTTCATCATATGATTTCAGACCACGTAGTGTTTTACACATAGTTTCTCTTATATGTAATGGCCAATGCTCAGTTACAGTTCGTCGCGAGACCTAGGATTTAATTCCATGAGCTCCGTCTTGAACACGAGAGCAGAGTTGGCAGGGATGACATTTCCAAATCCACGTGAGCCTAGAAGAAAATCAGTACGTGAGAAGCATGGTATACGTGGAAGAGCTCATACCGTATGCCATGTGAGCAGGAATGGTAAGAAGTCGTATTTCCCCGACGCACATTCCTTGAAGTCCTTCGTCCCAGCCTTTGATGACTTGTCCGACACCAACTACAAAAAACAGAGATAAAGGAGGTCGGCCATTCAGAGAATGTAACAAAAATTGGGTTTCGCTTACGCTTCAGCGGGAGAGGACTGTTGCGGTCGTAGCTGGGAAGTGAGGTCAGCATACTTGTGTTGAGAAGCGATGATAATTGCAATATGTACCTCGAGTCAAATTTGGCTCCAGTTGCATGTAATGTTCCGGTCTGTTGATGATTTGAACATCAAGTCGTTCGGAAGTATGAACAAGCACGCACGTAGTGAACCTTGATTTGGTCTTCAGTTCCAGCCTTCAACGTGCAGACCTCGGGCATGTAGATAGTCTCAATCACTAGTTCAGTTGGAGGTTCGGGGGAGGAGGCGTCCTGCGCATAGCCAGTAGCGGCGGCGACGAGAAGACATAGAACCCAGTTGTGAATCTGCATCTTGGGAGACTTGAGAAGAAGCGCGCACGGACACGTCACGAAATTGGAAATATCACGTTGCTCAGGTGACTGTGCTTATTTCAGTCTTCGAGGGTTCAGCCACACATGCATAAACAACTGTACAGTTCGTGATCACACGAACTCTATTTTTTCCTGTCCACTGAAACCCGTCTCGCGTTCCACTTATCATGGTATGGTTTTATTCTAGTTAGATTGCTGCTCGATTGGTTAAATAATAATATTTTTAGCCTTCCCAAAAGACTTTCCGCACCAAGCGTATTCTCGCAAAAGCTTCCCGCCAGAACAGGTATGGACCCATTTGGATTTCTAAACGATAGACATTGACTACCACAGACCCATCCCTCAGTGGTTCCGTCTGAAGACTGACACAAAAATCCAGGTGCGTGATTTGAATGTTCCTAGGATCTAACTAAGACTTGTGGATTATTTTGCAGTATAACGCCAAGAGACGTCACTGGAGAAGAACTAAGCTCAACATCTAGAGCGGATTGTATGGGGAAGTTGGGATACTTCAGAGAGAGCGAGGGTGTTTTGACGAACTACAAATAATGTGCATATGCTTCTAGGCCTATACATGCTCTATGTCCTTTACCAATGTGGACCAGTTTTGCGCACGCCCTTTGCGTCGCTTCCGGATCTGTGTACAACATTTGGGAAGCAATATAATTCAATATTTCTCCCCTTTGACTGTCACAATTAACGATGTACGTTTGTGCGTGTCGTCTAACTTTTGCGAGGTCACAATTCTACTGCAAGTCTTTCGATTACCATCTCGTCGAGAAGCCAGGAGATTGTAGCTCGAAGTAGAGCATGTGGAAGTTGTCACTGTCAGAACACCCCCGTGATTTGCTTATGAAGATGCACCTCGGTTTACGCTGGTTAAAGTTTCTTTATAACTAACTGCGAACAAGGCTTCGAAACCCTCTCTCACTAACATCGCAACTCCACTGCTACCTTCGACGAGACATCAATGGTATTTGAAGCTGTCAAAACTGCCTTCTTCCACTCCCCAGCCTATGCAGTTGTAGGAGCCTCGAAAGATCAGACCAAGTATGGCACTAAGGTACGTCAAATCGCTGTGGGTGATCAAATCTTCAACTAACGTTGCGAAAGGTCCTCCAATGGTATAAAGCTAGGGAAATGGATGTCACTCCAGTTCATCCTGTAAGCGGACAGAGCTGGTTCGAACTCTGACTCGTAGCTTATTGCTATGTATGCGACATAGAAAGAATCTGAGCTAGAAGGTATCACTGCAGTGAAATCTATCGAAGAGTTATCTTCTCCCAGCACAACTTCCATCAGCATTATTACACCCTCCAAGGTTCGCCTGTCCCACTGAGAATGGTACTGGACTAGTTCTAACAGTCTTCTCAATTAGATAACTCTCGCTCTCCTGCAGAAAGCCAAAGAACTCAATGTCCCTGCCCTCTGGATTCAACCTGGGGCTTCAGACCGCGATTGCATACAGTTTATCAAGGATAACGACATGGTAGATAAAGTCATCTACGGTGGATCGTGTGTTTTGGTTGAAGGAGACAGCTTCCGAACCAACTACTAGTGATTATCTGAAAGTTTGTGCAATCATGGCACCGAATCTAATTCTTTGCTCCAAGTACAAGTAGACTGTGATCAACCTTTAGCGCAAAGATTGTTGTAGGTATATACAGGTCCACTTAAATCCACTGTTATGTCGACGCTCCTACCTCAAGCTCCCAAATCCGCCCATTGACACACTTTCCGGGACCGCAGATCCACAATCGTTCCCTTGAGCGATATCATCTGTGACCTCGATAATCACTTCTCCGCCAGCCCTGAACACATCATAGAAATCAAAATGACACTTGGTAGGCGATTCGACTCCGTTTATGGTGACATTCTTCACATACGCTGCCGCACCGTCAGGAATGGTAGCCTGAATGGACTTGGGATCGAAACCCAGCGTTGTTACAGTAGTCGAAGTGTTGAGATAAGTGTTATGGATGGTGTAATTGGGGGTAAATGGGGAGAGTATGAGGAATTGAGATGTACCCGGAATCGGGTAGAGCCCGAGAAGATGGAAAGCGAGCACCGACGCCATGGCCGCCTGTCTCGCTGTCAGCACGAGTGGAGAATGGAAGTCAGTGTTTATTACCTGGTCATCGTTTCCTGGCAGTCCTGCCGGTGCTAGTACGTTTACAATCAGTTCAGGCTTAGCTATGAATACAAGAAGCCACATACTTATATCGAAGTTCTCGAACACTACTTGCCGCACGCGTTGAATCGACTTTGCAGGTTGGTTGGCATAATGATATCCAATTGGTGTCTACGCGGGTATCAAGAAATTGGAATAAGGATTCACTTCAATTGACATACTTGAAATGAAGGCTCATTTCCAGCCAGGTAGTAGCCAGCCTTCGAAATCCTGAGCGTTGCGAAAACTATTGGAAGAATCAGACCTACATCGAAGAAATGGTCCAGACGGTTCACGAAAGTGCTCTGTAATCCAGAGGTTCATTGAGTGAAGGGTTCTATGATTTGAGACGGATTGAAAGAAAACATACGTTTCCACCCATAAGGTCGATCAGACCATTCGTATCGTGTGGTGCAAACCTTTGAAAAAAGTCAACATTTCGCCTTCTCATAGCAAAAGGCAACTTCACATACCAGCTATACTCCCAAGACGACGACTCATAGAAGCCTTCGATATTGTCTCCTTGGAGCGAACACTCTCGATTTGCATCCGTGTCTTGTGGAGAACAATCAGTTGGATCAGTGAAATTGAAGGTACCGTTTGGATATCGTTTTTGCATGAAGCCTTGAAAGCCATCGCTCACAACTGTCTTATCCCAGACATTACGATACCACTGCGAAGACTTAAAAAAGCGAAGTTTTGTGAATGAATTCAGCGACTTACCAAAGAACGGTTTAGATATCTCTCTTCATCGGCGGTGTTATTGAGCAACAATGCTACCTGTCGGATACTGAAATCTTCGAAAGCGTACTATACACACTAAGTAAAAGGCTGCTCTGAAGGCGTTGAACTGTAACCTCACTTCCAGCGTTCTACTTCCCTCCCGAGTTTGACGACCAGTACTAGACGGGTCGATAGCGTCGAAGGGCACATATCCAAATTGTCTGATAACAGTTCATGAGATCGCAGCTTCTTATATGGATTGCAGTACTCACGTATATAGATTGACTTCTCGGCCCTGGATATCCCATTCCATGGGATTCAAATCGCCGTCTGCCAGCATAGCAGAGTAAAGTTCATCTAAGTCAATTCCCAGAGCAGCCGCTTCATTATGGTAGTTGATAGCAAAATGTCCCACAATAACGTCGCCACTAGATCCACCTTGAGTCCAACCTGGAAGGTTGTTCGCTCTAACGTGAAGTTTAGCTTTCGGCCGCCGTAAAGGATTGGAAAAGACACTGACCTACATTCAGGCATCCAACCGAGCTTGCGCCATCCGTCGATGTAGTTGTCTACGATCTGTGCGTAATCGACTGGGTGTTGCAAGGCCATGAGCGGATAGAAAGTACGGAACTAAAGTATTACAGGTCAGATACCCAATCGAGGTCAAAGTTGTGTTAGTTGCTACCGTGTCCCAGCTATAAAAATCGCGTGAGCTTCATCGTTCTTGAAAAAAGACATCAGATCTTACTAACCTGCAATACAATGAATCAAAATAGAATGAACTTGTCCCAGCAAAGACCCCTTGGGTTTCTCCAGTGGCATTGTTCTATCAAGGAGAGCATCTGAGCGCGTAAAAAGAATACTAAGAGTGAGTGCCTTACCGGAGTCAAGGAGGCACGATATAAAGAGGAATACAGCAGTTCGGTAACGTTAGGAGCGGTGTTCGCAAGGTCAATCTGAATCGCGCTAAGTTTTTCGTTCCATAATGCTTTGCTTTGAGCCATGATGTCGTCGAAAGACGAGGTGCCAATTTCAGATTCGGCGTTAGCGCAGGCCTGATCCGCGGATACGAAGGAGACTCCAACACGAATGGTAATCTGTTCGGGAGTTCCTGCGAAAGAAAAAAGAGCACCGTATTCGTAGTGATCCCCAATGAGACTTTGGGTCAGATTAAGATGTGTCTGGCCAAGTCCTTTAGCATTAAGACCATAGCTAGGATCGATTCAACTTGCTGTAACTTTTGTAAGCTGGAGACTTACGGATTGGCCTCCCAAATTCCATATTCGTCGAGAGTTTGATTTCCATTGTTCAGAAGGTCATAACACGAGAAAGCTTGATAACTGAAACTTCCGGGCCCGAAGCTGCAGATATCACGAGGATCAGAATGTCGTTAAGATTATTCTTTGAGACGTACCTGGATCCCCATTTGCCTCCGATCGTTATACGGCCTTGTTGTGGGTCGATATCCATTATTCCACCAACGAATGAATCAGGAAGGTCATTGGACAAATCTATATTATGACGTCCGTCAGGGGGGTTCCATGCAGATGCGGGAAGCTCACCTAAGACAAAATATGGTTTTGAGCCCTCGGGAAATGTGAACCTCTCTAATCCTGCCCTCCTTGTAGAAGTTGCTTCCATCTTGATATCGTTATCAAGCGTTTGCGAAAAGTAACCCGGTGATGCATCTAGTACGTATAAGTCATTGTCAGATTTGGATGCGTGAGATTGAAGAAGGTCAACAGACCGTCTGTGTTATTTTTGCGAAAGGTCTCCCTATCGCTAAGCATAGTAGCGCAAGTATTGAATCCTCCAGAGCACGTCATAGGCATTATCTCGAAGTTTCCGTATGTGCCTAAGCCCCATATATCAGTTTGTAGGCAGCTTGTCGGAGTATGAGAAGGAAGGGAATATACCGAGCGACGAGCCGGTTCCGCTATCGTGCAGGGGACTGAGCCCCCGGATCGTCTGTGTAGGATCTGTAACATAACCTACACCATACTGATTATTACAGGAAACGCGTTTACAAGAATGTCAAGTATACCAGCGGGGGCGTATCCAGTGAGGTCAGTCGAGAACTTCACCTGGAGAGTATGCGTTATACAAAAATTTCAGGCACTCGCGAGAAGCTGCCGCACCATTCCAAATGGCACTGAAGCCCCTGGGCTGAGCACAGGAATTGTCGTTCATTATGCTTTTGCGTTTTTAGAGGAGGACATACCATACATCCCCGAAATTATCTGTGAAAAGATGAAACACAAGAGAGTCGCAGAAAAACAATGCACATACCAGTACCAATGAAGGGATTGACAAAAGTTGTATAATCGGGGCTGGAACCATTTGCAGCAGCCACTATGGCAGCCGATATCCTCTTTTGCACCTCTGGAGATGGCTGCGCGTAAACCAGCACGGTTGAGAGAAGGAGTGATACGGTATTAATAAGAGGGGGCATGATGAACTAGAAGACAGCAGTTGGGGATTGGAAGCCTTTATATCTATCAAAAGGTAGCATTATCTCGTGAAGGGTACACCTTCAAGTCTACGGACCCGCATGGATGGGAAGCTTCCATCGTATGCTCCAAATCTTGCTTTCATGGGATGCGATAGATGTCCAGGTATAGCATGTCGCTTTTCCTCGTGATCGACAAGTTTATTGAACTTTTATAAAAATCAACGGAAATCAACTGCTCCCAGATCATGACGCTGTATGGTCAGCGACGAAGAGTCCGTAAGCGGCTTCGAAGACAATCAGAAAATCAAGAAGATTATAGAAGTAATGCAACCGGCAGACCACCCTGGCATTCACTTCAAGCCTAGTAAGAAGTAGCACTGGGCTGAGCAATTGATACGTCACCTCACTGCCCCCCATTGGAAGGCCTGCAACAAGCAGATAGTGCTTCAGATAAAGGATGAGCCGCCGAAAAAGATAAGCTTCTTCGAGTCTCTGATGAACTCTATGAAGCTCCCTGGAGCCTGGAGAAGAGGTAAAGAAAAATGCACCAAAGTATATCAGATTAGCTTTTCTTCGCCGAGGCAAACGATGACAGTTCTGTATCGTCACAATAGTTCATTTTGAAGGAACTTGGTAATGGAAGCGCCGCAAGACTGTATATAGTACGGCGCGAGTGTTATGTCGTGGTAGGACCCCGGATAATTGGGCATACAGTCGTTCGGGAATTCGGACAAATTTTGAGAAATTTTTCGAAAATTCCGTTCGATTTTCGGACATTTCAAGGCCTCTGACGACGGTAGGTTGTTCACAGGGGTTCGGACATTTTTTCAGCTTTGGGAGTTATATCTTCACGTGGGAGTCCGTAGGACTTTTGGAAATTTTTTGAAGCCTCCCCGAAGATCATTTAAGCGAGCGCTAATTTGCTTAAGCGCCGGAGGCTGGTCGACTTTCGGACATTTTTTGACAGAAATCCTGCGTTTTGGTTCGGACATTTCAGCCGAAATTCGGCAATTTTGGGAACGACCTTCACTCTGATTATCCGGGGTCCTGTCGTGGTTCGAAGGAACCTCCAAAAATTTGAAGCTCCGACGCCTGTGAGAAAGTCTGTTGCCGTCAACTCGCCGCCATTAAACCTCATTAAACCTCATTAAACCTGGTTCATTGAGGCCTAAGGCCCAAGGAGTCATTGATATTTGCGTGTCAATGCAGCTTTCATAATATATGTCCATTAGAAAGTATTCATGAAAAGACTTGAATTGAGGGTGTTAAGGGAACAACACATGTTTTCTCTCGGGGAGGTATGCAATGACCTGCAATGACATTTCAGAAACCACAACTAAAGAATTACAGAGATTAAGTTCTTCCTCATTCTACAAGATGGCTAGCTAGGCTCGAATTGACAACTTTTCCCTGTATAAGACCCTTCAACCTCTAACAAAGGTAACGGGAATTCAATCAATTCTCCCGGGGCCGAGTTTTCCAACATCTTCAAGTGCGACTCCCCTCGCTTCATTATTTTCCTCGCAGAAAGTTTTGAAGTTCCACGTTAGGTGTATACTATTAGTAGAGCAAGTACGTGCAGAAATTAGTAAAATATATGGTTTAGGAAAACGAGCGACCAGGTAAATCACCCCCTGGTAAGGATTAGGCTTTAGAACTGCTTTAAGCTTTGGCGTCTTTCGAGTCCGAAGCGATAGATTGTTTTATGGTCTTCACATTCAGACGCTCGATCTAGAAATGAAATAATGTTAGTTCGGCGGAATGCTCTGTGCACGAAAAACTCACCCCAAGTGCGATAATCAAACTAAGTCCGGCAAAAGCGATTGGGGGTATCAAGACTGTATCTATCGCTTTTGCATACGCCTTCAACACACCACTCAGTGCGTCAGCGGGTACGAAGTCCCGAAATTGTGTGGCTCCAGCATCGGCGACAATACTCGGATCAATAGATGGCGCATATTTCGAGATTTCCTTGACGAGGTCGTTATTGAATATTGATTGTGATATTGAAAGCGCGACGGCCCCTCCAAGAGATGTCGATAGCATGACCAGACTACCTTCTCAAGACTGTATCAGTCACTAAAAAGAGATTGATATATCAAGGACGTACTTCCGATAGGAACTTCTTCGGGAGTTAAGACAACCTGAACTGCGACGAATGGAATTTGGCCCGAACCACGTCCCATACCAGAGATCATTTGGTAACAAACCCATTCAGCGGTGGATGAATTTACATCCAGTGTTGAGAGAAGTCCAGCACCGACGGTGTAGAGAATAGCACCGATCCAGAGGAGGTAGTAATAATAACCGGTGCGATTGACGTACATCCCCATCATGATTGCGACTACAGTGTTGAAGACCAAGTACGGTATCAACCTTATACCCGAGACAACTGCCGACGTATCTTCAACTGCCTGGAAATACAGAGGCAGATAATAGATATGCCTAATACAGATAGATTTAGGAACCAGAAAATCTAGTAGAGGAAGTAGACCCACGTATAAGAAGCCATGCTATACAAGAACGAGTAGAGAATGCTGATGAGAACAGTACGCTGCTTCACAATCGAGATCGGGATAGTAGCGCGGTTTCCTCTCTTGACTTGGATATACACAAAGACGGGCACGATGAGTCCAAACCCTAAAAATAAGCCCCATACCCGGGAATCTTTCCACGAGAAGGTTGCCCCACCCCATTGGAGGGCCAACAACAAGCAGATGGTGCCACCGATGAAGAATAGAGCACCGAAAAAATCAAGCTTCGCTAGCTTCTCTTTGAGCGGAAGCTTTGACTTTCTCCCAGGAGATGTAAAGAAAAGGGCAACGATAAAGAAAGCAACGCCACCAACAGGAAGATTGATCCAGAATGACCTGGAGATTATTGAAGTCAGTATAATTCTCCATCCATTCGGAAAATTAAGTGATACCATCGCCATGATACTTTGTCCGTGAAGGCTCCTCCCATAAGAGGGCCAACGATAGAAGCAATAGTGAACATACTGGACACACCAGCGTTGTAGGCCGCACGTTTTTCCAGAGGGACAGCATATGCGATGATGTTGATGCTCCCAGACAATAAAGCAGAAGCCCCAATTCCTGCTACCGCTCGGCCAATGATGAACATGAGGGAACTGGTGGCGGCAGCACATACAACTGATCCAACTACATGGACTGATATCAGGCATAATTCGGTTTAGGGGGGGGAACAGATCTAATGCGAACCTTCAAATATGACGAGAGCAATTAGATAGACTGCTTTCAAGTCAAATACTGTGTAGAGCTTCCCGAAAGATGGTTGAAGAGATGCCAAGACGAGCAGATAGGCTGAACCATACCAACCAACATCTCCGAGGGAATCAAAAACCGTGGTAATGGTAGGGATGACCGTCGCTTAGGGAAGCTCTCAATAACAAGAAAGCAGTGAATTCAAGAAAGCCTGCTCACAGATAATGGTGCTGTCTAGGGCGACCTAATAACGAACATTATTACTAGACATGTCAAGGAGACTTGGAAGATAGACTCACCACAAAAAGTCCCAAACATACTCCCAAGGTCAAAATTGCCAATTTACTTCCAGAAGCGTACTGGACGGTTAGTTCATCCGACTTGTGCTCAGTGACAACAGCGTTGGACTTTTCATCCTTTGGAAGTATGGACTCTTCACGAATAACACTGGAAGGTTTCGATCCCTGTACTATCACTTCATTATCAAGAGTGCGAGCGTACTTCGTCTCCTGAGATTCCGGTATAGATGAATCCATCTGGGAAGGAGAAAGAGAGTTGCTGCATGTGTGGCTGCGTTATGCTATATATGTGGTAGAGATGTCCTGACAATGAAGGTGCCTGGCTGGCTCGTTACCGTTGATGCGATCAAGATTCAACGCTGGGAGTTGCTGGGCAGTATCATAACCTTCTCGTTATCCGAGCCAATCGGGAGGTGGTGAGGGGTGGCGAGTGACATATTTTAGGCAGCGAGCTACATAGAACCCTATGTATAGAACCTTGGGAGTTTTTTTCTTGCTCTCTTGCCGTTCTACGGTACCGTATGGCACAGATATCAGATAACTGAAACGATAAAACCATCCGAAAGTAAATGAATGTGGGGTAGGAATAATTTATCACTGCAGGTTGCAAGTCGGCGCGTAACGGTATAGGCGCGAAAAGAGAATGAGGCTGTGCTATTCCGTTGCATAAATAGTCACTTTCTCTGCTTACACTTTTGTATCCTTACTCTCACAGACTTTTTTTCTAGCGTCATCCTAATCTCGCTTTTCAGCGACTCACCATACTATCTACCTCTGATATGCATCCTCGTCTATCTTTCCTTCTGCTCTGTGTTTTGACAGTTACTCACATAGCTGCTGCCTACCGTCCCTACCGTCCGCATGACAGTTCTGATCTCGCCCAACCTCATCGTGTCCCGCGCAGCTTCAAGAGTGACAACAAGCGTGAAGTTTCTCCTCCTCAAACTCCTTCGCATGTGAACGCCAGCATTCGAGCTGTCTCAGAAAGTACAGTTTCATCAAGTCATCCAACTCAGATCCCTCCCTGCTCCTCTGACTGCTCGCCCGTGGCACTTTCTGCAGACGCCTCTCCGTCTGCTCGACAGGCTATAAATGAACCCGGCTCTTTGGGGGTCGCCATGGATACCCTGAAATCGCAGCCTGTTCCGCGTTACGCCAACACCACCATCACTCCTCCAGTGCCATCGCTCGCCGCTAGACAAATTCACAACGCTGATTACGGATCCTCAAATGCGCCTTCGTCGTCTTCTGATTCCAACTCTACGGAGCAAGCACATCCCTCGTCTTCGGCTTCTCATCCTAGTGCTACGGACAGTGCTGACAGCAACAACAGGCGCGAAGAAACCACAGAACATGTAAGGACTGGGCCACCAGCTGCTCGAACTGCCGCGTTGAGACGTCTGGAAACCTCGGATTTGAAACCTGTATATAACAAAAACAGCACTACCACCATCCCCAGTGTCAACCCTACTGAAACAAATTTTTCACGGCGATTTCCTCGAGCGTCTGCCTTGCGACGTACGAACCTGTTCGATATGCTGCCTGGAACAGACAATGACACGTCGAGCTCCAACTCTACTGGATCAAAATCCGACAACTCCTCTGAGAGGCGAGTCCCTCGAGCTGCTGCGATGCGACGCATAAATGTCCCCGGATTGCCCGAAGTCAAGAATAGCACAACTCCCCCTAGTACCATGAAATCAGATGATTCTGCAACAAGGGATAATTCGACCTCGGTTGGGACGAATGGTTCAAACGGCAATTCAACGAAATTCGACAATGACTTTGCCAATTCCAGTCCCAATCAGCCAGAAAGAAGGCTCGCTTTTCGTTTTCGTCGGGGTCGCCAAGGTTGAACGTTGAGCAATAAGGTCAAACATAGATACTCGTCCCGAGTGCAATCGGAATTGAAGAACCTCTACGCATACATGTCCATTATTCATTCATATCATAGGGAACATACTAGGATTTTGTACCACAAGCCTTTTTATTCTAAGCTTTTCACCGTTACCTCCGACCGTGTGCAAAACTTGAGATCTTGAGAACTCGGGTGCCAACATTTTGCTTGCTAAACACCATATGCATGCAACTATGTATCTAGTTAGGTCTTGTTTGAGCGTCATATGAATGCTTACGGTTATAGACCATACTATACCTTCAGGCTCTATAAGAAGCGTTTCAAATCGCCGACTTTACCTCCGATTCCAATCCATTGATCTAACTTCGCTTCTGAACGTCGCCAACCTGCAGTAATCATGGCATCGGCTAGTGTACACAAACCGAAAGTCCTCGTTCTCAATGCTCCCGACAAGGCTCCGAGTGACTATGTAGCCCAGCTGAAGGAGAAGGTCGAATTTTATGTGAGTGCAACGCGTGTTTTGTTGGAAAGCAGTCGGTTGAGCAACAGAAGTATAGTCGATAGAACAGGCCTCTCACGACGTGGTAGCTGGAAGGATAGCTGAAGCAGTCAAGCAGAACGGTCCTTTTGTTGGTGGGATACAGTTAATTCAAACTTCGAATTCTGAGTTGACGTTCCCTGCAGCGTTCATTGTCTTCATCAATTGGTGGTCACGTCCTTTCCCTTGGCCTATGGACGAAGCTCTGATTGGTCCACTAGTCGAGACAGGATGTGAAATGTTCAGCTCTGGGGGTGCAGGATATGACTTTGTCAGTTCCAGATGATCATCCGATACTCCGAACTCCGAGGTTCTGGTTCTCATTCTTTCACTCTACTTCAGGTCGACATCAAGTACATGACAGCTAAAGGCGTGTACTACGCCAACACACCAAAGATGCCTGCACTTCGGACTGCAGATAGCACTGCGATGATGATATTACAAGCTCTTCGTGGATCATCTGAACGCGAAGCCGATGCTCGTGCAGGGAAATGGTTGGATCCGTCGAAACCCCTGGCAAAAGACGCTAGGTGCTCGACGTTAGGGATCGTTGGGATGGGTAATATCGGGAAACTTGTTTCCGGACATATGCAGCATTTTGGTATGAAAGTCGTATATTACAATCGGAATCGCCTACCACCATATGAGGAGAACGGAGCGGAATTCGTTTCGTTCGAGGAGTTACTGGTGCGCTCGGACGTCATATCGCTGCATTGTCCATTGAACGAGGGCACACGACATCTATTCAATAAGCAAGGTGCGTTTCTATCTAGGCTGAACAGGACTGAATTTGCTAAAGCCATTCTACGTTCCGAACGCTGACTCCTCTTTCCCTTCTGTCCGACAGTATTCGACAGAATGAAAGATGACATGATCATCGTGAACACGTCCAGAGGAGCTGTGATAGACGAAGACGCGCTCGTTGAGGCACTGAACTCTGGAAAAGGTATGCAAAGCTACAGACCATTTGAGAAGCATGTTGTTAAACCATCTTCCGACTAAGTCAGTTCTTCGCGCTGCTCTGGACGTATACGAGGTATGAGAGCTATATCATCATCGTATCCCATTGATGCCATACTTTTCATGTAGTTTGAACCGAAAATTCACCCCGGACTCATTGCTTCGCCGCGTACAGTGAGTCTTTATCCCCAGCTACATTCACAGTCTGAATGATGCCCCCCGGGCTGCCGTCTCCCAGACGCTCCTTCCTCATGCCGCAGTGGCCAACGAGACATTTGAAAAAGATCAGCAAATGGAGATTTTGCTCAATCTGGAGACATTTATCAGGACTGGGAAGCCTGTGAACGCTGTCAATGAAATGTAATCACGGCGAGAGATGCGCCTGTTGCAATTCTGCAGGCGACGTTTACATAGGCTTGTGTTTACGTTTCTTGCGCGTAGAAGGTAAGGTGCTAGGCAGAATAACTTCGAAAAGGTAACTCGATGGAATTATGTGTTGGATTGCGAGGTCCTTCCGAATGATATATGTTCGTTTTCATTCGGAGCATAACCTTGTCTACTTGTTGTCTACGTATGTAACTTTGTCCACTAGTTGCTACTGGTTGTTTTTCCAAAAATTGTTGAAATTTACGGCTTTGGCTATACATACTAGTGTGCACATTCGAATTTCCGGGTGCGCCGATTTGCTTTCTTTCTGTTCCATTATTTTATGGCTCGAGAGTCGAATGGCTTGGAAAAAGGCTGGAAACATGGGACTCGGGAATGATTTTACATGCGATTGCAGGCCACTGCACCACCGTGCATGGCAAAAACTCGGCTCCTTTTTTGGGGGCTATTAAATATTATGGAATCAAATAAACGGGGCGCCTTACAGGCGCCGACATTGAATGTTTTTTAAGAATGAAATAAATACATGAATTACAGTATCTATAGACACTACGTCGGCAGTCGCTAATAACGGCTGGGATTTACAAAGGGAAATCTGAGTCAAAACTTTGATTTCCCATCTGTGCTTTTGATGTATTGATCTTCCGGCAATGACTTGATTTCTCGGCTCATCATTGATAATCTTTCCCATAGATAATTGATAATCTTTCCCATAGATAATTAATAATCTTTCCCGTAGATAATTGATAATCTTTCCCATTGATGATTGACAATCTTTTACATCTGAACAAAATTTTATTTCCCGGTTCGCGAAAGTAAATGCCCGACTTTTGAGCCACTGTCCAGAACTATTGAGAGGCGGTATCTCCTTACAAAATGTTGCATTTGAGGAATTTGGTGATGATTGGACTACACTCAATAAGCATGGCAGAAATGGTTGGTTGGGACTTCTTGCATGCGTCAAATGGTGGGGACAGGGTTTTGATCCAGAAGGTGATAAGAAACGATGGCATGAACTTGTTGCCGATATGGTGAAGATGTTGAATGGATTGGATAACTATATGTCGCACAACTCTGGTAACTCTCACTCTGTATCAACGCAAGACTAGTATTTGCAGTGGCTCAAAAGTCGGGCATTCACTTTCGCGAACCGGGAAATAAAATTTTGTTCAGATGTAAAAGATTGTCAATCATCAATGGGAAAGATTATCAATTATCTACGGGAAAGATTATCAATTATCTACGGGAAAGATTATCAATTATCTATGGGAAAGATTATTAATTATCTATGGGAAAGATTATCAATTATCTATGGGAAAGATTATCAATGATGAGCCGAGAAATCAAGTCATTGCCGGAAGATCAATACATCAAAAGCACAGATGGGAAATCAAAGTTTTGACTCAGATTTCCCTTTGTAAATCCCAGCCGTTATTAGCGACTGCCGACGTAGTGAGAGTAACAGGGGGTAACTGAGTGAGATGCTGTGAGACGAGAAAAAATAATTGTGACAGAGTCACAGTCCCGTGATATCCCGTGCCGGTCACAAGAATTCAATACAATTCAACTCAGTGTTACATTTGGCCAAATAAGGCGAAACTACTGCCATAAAGGGAAATAATTTTTGTATGGAGTACCGTACATAAGGACGATACTTCCGTAAACTACAGCCTCGTAACTTGTTGTCTTTTCAAGGTTTATTCGGGCTGTATTACGTAACACATCACGTATTCGGACGAACAATAAGGTGTCTAAATGGAGAAATCCTCATTGTTCATTTCTTGGCCGTGTTGCACAAAGAACAATGACTAGGGCTACAATGGCGACAGTGCACAGACTCAAAAGGAAAGTACAAAGCGGAATTTCCCTCGTACTCTTTTTTACGATCTTCCATTCCGTCTTACTCACTACTTTTCTCGACGTCGCCGGTCGACTTCTGGCATGTCTCTCTCACCACCCCCGACGTACGACGCTCACTCGAACTCTTACGTCTCTACGACCTCCTTGAAGCCTTACCTGGAACTTCCCCATCTACTCTCCCTTACGTGGCTCGCGTACCCAATTCTTTCACTCCTCTTCATCGCCTTCCGTCTGCAGCTATCTTTGGCGTCTGCTCAGGACGATGTCGCCAATGCAAAGGCTGATCTACTTGCTAGCTGTCAGGCCGCACAAAAGGCTGCCACTGCTGCTGCAAGTATGCCACGGTATATGGCCATTGCTACCAATGACCAGTTTGTCACTGCAGTCAATGATTCCATGAACGCTGCTCGGGCTACTCTTGTTCTCGCGCTGACCGTGATGGAGGCTATCATCAATTTCATCGTGGATATCTATCGTTCTACACTGTTATGTTTCGTGGAGTTGGTCGTTCGTGGCGCACTTTCGCTCGTGATAGGCGCTGTATCAGCGGTGAGTGGACCGCGAAATGGCAATGATGTCTCGTCCTTATGGAACTTTGACAGTTAAACGACGTGATTCAGGATGTTGCCTCTGGAATCTCGACTGCTATCCAGGATAGCATAAGTGGTGCCAATTCTGCGATCACATCAGCCATCGATGCTATCAACAAGGTCAACCCATTTGGCAATATATCCATTCCTCAGATATCCTCTCCGGACCTGAGCGCCCTCAACAATGTCTCCCTTCCTTCCAGCTTTCAAGACTCGCTGAACCAGCTCAATAGCTCTTTGCCTACGTTCTCGCAGTTGAAAGATGATATAAACGCAATGTGTGTCTACTTGCGAGACCATTGCATGACATTCGCTGACTACTATATTTTTCTCTCCCAGCCTTGATACTCCGTTCGAACTACTGAAGAAGGATATCAACGACACTTTTGCAGACCTCTCGTTCAACTCCTCGTTGCTTACTATTCCAGAGCAGAACGAGGTCTCATTTTGCGATCAGCTCGATACTTCGGTCGTGGATGATTTGGGACAGGATCTGATTAAGATCACCAAAATCGGAGTAATAATCATCATCCTTCTCGCCCTTCTCCTTGTAGGTCTTAACTGCTTGCTTGAGTGGTACAAGTGGCGCTGCCAGCAAGCGCACTTGCAGTACACTCGAGAAGCCTGGTCGACGGATCCCTCAGTTACCCAAAGCAAAGGCTTCGGTGCACCTTCAGTTACACTTACAGATCACAATCTGCTAATGCTGCAAGCCAATGGCTCTCATCCGTTGATCACCCGCATCATGAACCAATTGTCCGCCCGTCTTCATTTCTCTCCGACCACCTACACCAATTTATCCTGGTTCCTGCACTACATATTCCATGCTCCTGCTCTCGCTTGTTTCCTCATCGGCTTTTTCGGCCTGTTATCGGTTGAAATACAGCTCATTGCGGTTCATCCCCTGGAAGCAAAATACTCAGCACTTGCAGCATCCACCGCTACGGATTTTTCCAACACAATTGCCACCTCAATGAATGCCAGCATGTACAATCAGTCTGCTACTTATGCCAATAATGTCAACTCTCACATCGACACTCTTCAATCCTCCATCAACGATGGTCTATTCGGCTGGGTGAATGGTACTACCACCACTCTCAATGACACCCTTGCCACCTTCTACAGTGATATACAAGACGCGATCAGCGATGCCTTCAACGGTACTTTGCTCGAAGAACCGCTCCAGGAGTTTCTTGCTTGTTTCATTGGTTCCAAAGTCGAGGCTATTGAGGACGCGCTCACGTTTTTGAACAACAACTTGCAGATTGATATGCCTCGCATGAATGATAGTATCCTCGTGCTATCACCAGAGTCAATAAATGAAGTCTCACAGCCCATTGCAGCAGCCGCTGTTGGTGATGGATCCGACGACAATGGTGGTTTCGTTGGGAAGTTGGTGAACGCGTATGTTGCATCACTGAAGAAAGAACGCATCATGTTCGGAATTTTCATGGGTTTGTGGGGAGTCGTGGTTCTCATGGCGATTTGCATTATCCTCTGGAGCACATATGGCAAGCGGTATTTAGAGAGGAGGAGGCACAGGAAGTGGGAGCGAGAGCAGAGATGTGGTGTTGACGGCTTGGTTGTTCCTTTCCGGTTGGGTCAACCTGTCAGCGAAAAACCTGGGACTGACTTCCTATCATTTACCCCGCCACCGACACAATCTTTCTCTGACAATGCCGCCGGTTCTTCGGGAGCGCCTCGATCTTCTGATCCCAAAACAGGCAAGAGCTGGGAAAACTTTTTCGGTGCTGGGGACTCTCGCAAGAAACCATTTCCTGCGATTAGCAAACCGTTCAAATTGGTGCCTGCAGTCGGAAACCAGCCAGAGCGAGCGGGTCTGGGGCAGGATGATCAGTTTGGAAAGACTTGGTTCACACGTCTCACTGGTACCTTCACCAGGAAGATATCGGACCCTCAATCGGTATCTCCGACCCCACCAAGCGATCGGACGCGTCCTGATCTCCGAATATCTATCGATCGGGCTTCTAGTACGCGCACCTTAGCTCAGGACCCCGACGGAGCCAAAGATGGAGAACCGCATTCGCGCTGGTCCACTTCTCCTGAAGTAACGAAAATTGCTCCTTGGATGGGCATGCTCTCTCCTACTCGTCGCAGTTACGATCATGGTCCTCCGCCGAATCGAACTATGCGCCAGGACGTCCGAAGCATCCCCGCTGATGTGAACTCTGTGTACGAAAGTTCTGCCGTCCACGTTGGGCACGCCCCCCTTGCGCCGCCCCTGCATCACGGTTTCACCGGTATATTAAGGTCGAATATCCAGGCTCCTTCAACCCTAGCTCCCCCTCAAGATCGCCATCGACGTTCATCATCCGTCCCTGCGTGGAAAATGTCAGCTCCAGCAGCTTCATCGGTCACTCCAGTAACCCGATTCTTGACTTCCCACTCTGCTCGACGGTCGTCCAACGTCGATCCGTTTGCGACTCCTTTTGACGACGAACATCAAGTGATTGTAGAACGAGCGCCCCCTCGCCAGAGCTACCAAACGAATCCCTTCACCGTGGTTGCTATGTAATGCTTTCTCACTCCAAGACGTTTCTAGTAAACACGACAACTTCATGCATCGCTCTGGACGCTATATCGCTATATTACAGCATTCCTAATCATCGGGATAATTATGGTTCTTCTGAGAAGTCATTTACAACCATTCTATGATCTGCAAGTTTTCGCCTGTATTTTTATACCTGATGTCGACCACCCTCCCTCATGCAGGGCATCCGAGTGTTGTTTTGTATTATACTAATGAACTATCACGATCTATTGTGCTGTACTCCTTGCTGTAGCCCACCAAATAGATCACTTCGTATTTTTTTGCGCTGGAGCAATCGACTCGGAAAAAATATCGAGCGGGCTACATATATGGTGTCTTAGCAGTTCACTGCTCGTCCGTACGTGGACAATATACCACGAGCCTCTAGTCATGCTAGGTACTACAGTACTGATGAATGAAGAACGTCGATAAAGAAATCCATTTGGCAGAAATTCTCTGCTTTGCCCTCAATTTGTCCTACATACTAACGGACCAGAACGGAGTTCAACGGACACGGAAGCAAAAAGCTCCCAGGGCGGTCACGGTCATCAGATCATTTTGCTTCCTTCGCTCTGACCCTGCACAATCGTCCTCCGTCGACCCCAAACAAAAATATGTAATCACGAAGCATATCAAGCATCAGAATCCAGATATCTTATCGTTGGATGGACGACCGACAATCTTGTTAACAGCTGTCAACAAACAAGAACGCAAACTATGTTTAGAAGTGTTGCTGAAGTGCTCTGGGAGCTCTCGCGAGTCGTTTTAGGTGAGTCTTAATGGAATACAGAGAACCCTTTCTACTCTTAATAACATGACACTTGAAAGTAGAATCGGGATTAACTGAATAATTGGGCAGGTCGCCGCTGAATCTCGCTGGATCTCATATCGCTGCATTCGCGTGACATATTATGTGTTCCCTTCGCTGAACATTCTGATTCTCTGTCAGAATTCAGTTTAGAAAAACGGCAAAGACCGCTCCGATTCGGCCGCCCTGTCATTGATTTTTTGAGAACCCTTTCTTCCACTTTCTACCACCATACCATACACGATCCTTTCAACTTTCAGAAATGCCTTTCGTCCAGGTCAAGACCCGTTCTGGAAGAATCAAATTCAACTACACCATTAGCACTCCCAACTCAGATTCTGCGGAGAACATAAACCCCGATCTTCCAGTCTTGCTTTGCTTTCATTCTCTCGCCTTTCCTCATGTATTCCATTGTATGTTAACGGTATAACCTTATTTCGTCCGCCTCTGACCCGGCCTATCATATTAGCTCAATTTGCAGACCCCCTGCTTCGGAAGTTTAACCTTGTCGTATTCGACTTCAGGACCCACGGTGATACCGAAGGAGATGACTTGCCGGAAGGGTATGGAATAAAGGAAGCGGCAGAAGATTCTTTAGCCTTCATGGTATGTTTTAATCGCGTCAGGTTGCCAAGTAATAAACATTCAAAGTTACAAATTAGGATGCTCTACGCCTTCCAGCATGCCATTTTGTCGCGATAGACTATGGAAGTCCTATCGCTCTGCAGATAGCGATCGATCATCCAGATCGAGCTTTATCGTTGTTCTTTGTGTCGCAAATTTGTTTGAAAGAGGTTGGTTTTTTTGACAATTATGAAGGTCTTCAAGCTGACCTGACTGTAATGTGTCAAGCCTCCAGATGTGTGTGAAGGTCACCGACAGGTGTATGATTCGTGGACCTCAGCCTTTCCTGCTCCCGATCAATTTGATGTAGAGCTCGGGATGGAGGGTGGCTATGGATTTTCGCAATTCATGTTCAGTAATAAAATGACGAATCTAGCGCAGGCGTACGCACCATCTTCATATCTGACAATTGACCTTCTGATCGGATATTATTTTCAAGTCTGTTCAATGCAACATTTCCACTGTGCCAGAAGCATTGGGGTTATCATGGGAAGAGAAATTTTCGTGTTGCGACCCTCGATCTTCTTTGTGGCCGACAATCACAACCGAAGGCGGCTTTATCCCGTCTACGATGCCCAGTGAAGCTTGTATATGGCACAGACGATGTGGCATATAATCAAGATTACAGCGAGGAGTTTTTACAGGACTTGGAAGATGCTGGGGTGGAGGCCTCCTTATTTGTTGTACCAGGAGCACCACATTTTGTGGGGGTCGATTATGCTAGCCAGTAAGTTCCTGGAGTTACTATGTTACTATGAACTGCTGATGCGAAATCACTGAAGAGTTAACCCCGTACTTCACGATTTCATTTTGCAAAACGACGACCGGAAACCGCCACCAGTCTCAGAGCACATTCTGTCCCCTTGGGATGCTCTTCTGCGGTCAAATGGCTGGACACCAGAGGGTAACAATGATTCTGACGACGACGACGATTTCGTGATTACATATGTGAGTCCTCGGTGACGAGCGAAGAATTGGAATTCATAATAATCGTGTGGTTCTCTAGCCGCAATAAAATGGATTCGTCCTTCCTTTGCATCTTTGCATATTTTTTTTGCTTATTTTGATACCAGTAAATCAGGATCTTTGTTATTAGAATTCTATCGACGATGTGGGGCGGTTGAAGTGTGTAATGTCAATAATGAGACTCAGGCAGTCTCGTTTTCCCGCAAATAAATAAGCTCGCACTTGAGCTTTTTGCGGACGGCTTTTACTATTTAGTTCGATCAAAACCAGCCTTGACCAAACATTCATCCGGATGAGAACTCTAACATGACTCTGATCAGAGATAAATGAGCAGCTACTCAGCTAGGGCACAAGATCCTTGCTACATTGATCCGTAGCCTGAGATGTACCAAAAAAGGACCAAGTCGTAGACTATTTCCTCTCTTCAAAGTGGTCATATTAGCCATAGACTACCCCGTTGTAGCCCATTATGTGAGTGTGCTTCGCTCTAGTTGATTAATTACTATCGTACATGCACAGCTTGAATGTTTCTCGGTAGTCAACAGGAACGTCAAAATTCACAAGCATTTCTTGTAGCTGACAAGACAAAAATAAAGAAAGAAACACGTTGATTATTATATATAGCGAGCAATGAATGACAGCTCGGAGCACGTTCGGAATCTCCTGACGGGCTCAAGGACGTACATGTTATCGTACAAGCAGCCGTCCCTTTCGCTGTTTATGAAGGCGAATCTATCTGAATCTATTTCGAAGTCAATGACTGACTTGAAACCATGAACATACATGCACACACACAGCTAAGATGTACTGGAAGGAGCTCTGAACATCATCCGCTCTGCAGAGAAAGCACTAATCACGCGGATAATTATGCCCATGGTCTACATATTTCGATCGTTAATCTCAACCCAAGCTCAAGTTTACGGACCAATGGCAGGATCAAGAAGAGTAGCAGTAGAATTCTTGTACGCAAGCAGAAGTAAATTAGGTAAATTAGTACTCTATCAGAGCAAAATACGGAATGAATGCTTACCGCGCCGTGAAGAGTTGCATCCGCAAATGCGTGCGTGTTCTTGGGATCGCCTTGGACCTTTTTGGGTCTATTTGACGAGCAGGAACTCTTGTATTTTCTAGTGAACTCGGCGCATTCGCTCAGGACTGAGACCTTACAACCCCTGGCTGGTATGCATTATTAATCAATATCTTCACTTACAATGTACCCCTTAAATAGATGTTGCCTCTGCTTGTCCTGAATAGCTCTGGAGGCGCCTTCGTCCTCCGTTGTTGATCGACCCTACGTTCGAGATAGACTTGGGCAACAAAGCAAACCGAATTGAAGGAGAGGCGACATTTGGATCTACATATCCAACCAAGACGTCTAGCTGACAACGCCAAAAGGGTCAAGGCAGTATGTATCAGAAGTGAAAGCGGAGAATTGTCATGGAAGGACTGCGATCCTCAAGCAGGTGATAGGTGGAATGCAGCAGCTTGGATATTCAAAGACTAGAACCAGATATATAAGTACATAAAGAGTAGATGACAGATGTAGCTAAACTCCAGAGGAAAGACGTATGAAATCTGTGATAACAGATATATTCTTCAACTGATTACCGTTCCTGCAGGTTGTTGAGCAGACGAAGGATGCTGATGACTGTCAAATTGTCATCGATCGATAAAATTCATGTATTATTTGGGACAGGAAAGACTCACATAGATTGATGAAACTGAACGCATGAAACAGACAACATTATCAGCGAGCAGACTATATGAGCAAGAGTTGAAGACATACTCGAGATAGAGACTAATAGCACCCATGATAAATTCGTCGGGTGACAGCTTCGCATTTATCAAGTATGTATCGTACACAATATAGCCACTAAAGATGAGACAGCCCCCCGCGGCATAGATGAGATCCATTGTTTGGCCAAATGGTATGAACATTCCAACAAATCCGGTCATTACTGGCGAGAGGAATTAGTGCGACTGATCAATCGAGATTGATTAAACATACAAAGAGCAACTAATCCACCAAATAGCCAGGGTCCGAGGCCTTCGAAATCATACTGTAATTCTGTGTCAGGACTTATGTGTCTAGAACAGCGCAGCTTTGTCACTTACCTTCGACTGGAAAGTGAATAGAGTAAGTCCAAGGAAAACCCCAAGAGTGATGAGGCTGTGTAATTCTGAGTTGAGCGATAGTTATCAGGCAAAACAGATGGACGTACAGAGCTTGAAGTACAATCTTTGTGTCGAAGAACGCCACTGTAACCCCTAGTGTAAAAGCCTCCATTACCGTGAAAGTTGACAAGAGTACAAAATTCAAAGGGTGGTCATGTCGCTTCCAATACAATAGTCCAAGATTGATAAGTGTGCCAAAAAGGGGAACATAGAAAGACCAAGTGCTTTGAAGCAGAAGATGAGCATTGTGAGGTGGTATTCGATCTCGAAAAGCATACTGATTGAGAACCCAGAAGATAGCAGACTCGGAGTGTGATATCCCACCCGCAACGATACAAGTAGCAAGCTAATATACAAGCATCAGAATCTTGTTCGTTCAAAGGAGCTGAGATTCGTACAATTTGACAGACTGTGGAAAATGGAACGTCAGGAGCAGCCAAAGAATCATCTACATACAACTCACAAAGTATCGTGTAGACTTTCCTGACGAAGGCATTTCGAATTTCTGGGGAGCTCTCAGATACTGTTGTGCCGTACTGTAGATGAGCCTGAGTAAGATGAAGTTTAGGTTGTTGTCAAGATAGAACTCACCTTGAAGTCGTCTGGAATATCACCAGCCTCGGGTTGATCAAAAAAAGCTCTGCCACTGGCGGAGCTGCCTAACAGAGGATCCCGGCTTTCATCTCCAAGATTACCCTGCTTAGGCGAAGGCGTTGCAGAGCCGTATGACGGTGGTGGTACAGGATACTGGCTCATGATGGAAGTTAGAAGAAAGATTCAATTACTGCGTTGACTAAGCAAAGGTCCGTCGGGCATCTAGGCTTCGACTTTCTCTAGCTTTCTCTGCTGTTCTCTCCCTTGTTCCCTTGTTTAATTTTTGGAATTTTGCCTGCCACTGTACTTATGACTTGCACCCAAAATTCAACAGAAACTACCGGAGCTCAGTGATCTTATGTTTTCAATTTAGTGAAGACCGGTGAAGTGGGTCTCTTTTATCGTCTTCGTTGGTCGCTCTCAGGTTTCATGCCAAAGCTGTATCTGTATCTCCATAACGTTTTGAATCCCGAGGTCAGCGGCAACGAGGAAGGGCGGGATTTCTCGGAACATCGGATCTCTTGGGTTACACAGCAAGACTCCTTCGAAGTCATTTGCGTCTGTATAGGAATATGCTTTCGGATTATATCCATTCCGACTTTGCCAAGGATCTCGTTCCAAACGGCGTCGATATTTGACACTAGTGTACGCATCACATCGTCCCCCCAATTCTTCCACGAGATTGACTAACATCATTCGGTGCATCATTGAGTGTGCAGAAGGTGTACAAGTTTTCAATGTTCAAATCTTAGTTACAAAAGTGATGTGCTTTGCTATCTGCACAGGCACGATAAATTAATGCTACAACAACTGCCCTACGTTTGTGCTCACTCTCATGGGACAAGAGGGGTGAAGTGACAATGGACATCATAATGGCACTAAACTTCCCGCCTCTTGAAATGTTAGATATTCACCTGCCGTCTTGAATGTACAAGATACAAAAATGTCTTTGGACGGTTCTTTCATGCTCTAGCCTGGCTTTCTGGGTCTTAACGACTACTTCAATAGCAAGTCAGACGTATTCATAGGGCATCTTGAGACATCTTGGCGCCCGCCTGTGTTTCACCGCTGTCACTCCAACTCAAAACCTTTACACCACCCTCCTACATCCATCTGTACACATTATCTGTGCCATCCGGATAAGCGTGCCCGACAAGTGTTTCCTGGGCAATGTTCGCCTAGCCGCTTGAACGCATGGATACTCAGACCGCAATGCTATCCGATTACTTTCGAAATGGGGAAATTATACAAGAATGACTTGACTCGATGATTGTGTGCCGAGAAACAGCTTATGTCCTTGACCTTCACAGTATAAAGGGGAGCAGGAAGTGCGAGCCTCTTTCTTCACTGAGATTTCCTCTACCTCGTTCATTCCTTTTTATTCATTATGCGTCTACTCTTGACTTCTCTCGCTATCCATCTTATCTATTCCCAGGCCTTAGATATAATTCGCAATAATGGCGTCTTGCAAATCGTGAACAAAGAACTGTCTCCCGATGGTTTTTCCCGCCCGTGAGCGTTTGCATTCATGTAGCTACTCTCAAGTGTTTATGTTGTGTCATTAGCACTGTTTTAGCTGGTACAAGTGCTGGTTCCGCAACCTTTCCTGGTCCTCTCATCCAGGGTAATAAGGTGTGCTTATCTTCAAAACATGACTTGAAATCATACCGACGATTCATCAGGGGGACACATTTAATATCGATGTTGTCGACTCTCTCACTGATACAACCATGAATCGAACAACGAGCATCGTAAGCCTCACAGAAATATCGTCTCCGCGATGTTTCTTTAACGAATCCGCAATAGCATTGGCATGGACTGTTCCAGGAACACACGAACTGGGCCGATGGGCCAAGGTCTGTGTTTCTCCATTCACATATACTGGGATCCGACTCATATCATCCCTTAGTTTTGTCACCCAATGCCCCATAGCGCCCGGAAACTCTTTCCTGTACAGATTTGCTGTACCTGACCAAGCAGGGTAAATAAAGTCAACCTTGAACGCTGCAAAAATTGAACTATTTCGAATAGAACCTACTGGTATCACTCCCATCTTGGAGTACAAGTACGTTTTCACACTGAGATGAGAACGGAATACATTTCTCAATAGCATCTAGTATTGTGACGGTCTTCGCGGTCCATTCGTCGTCTATGACCCGCATGATCCCCAAGCGTACATGTATGATGTTGACGATGGTGGGTGTTTTGGCGACAGGATTGCTGCTGAGACATTAACTTTTCCTGACAGAAAATACTGTGATAACCTTGGCAGACTGGTACGTAGTAATTGTTCAACATCATCATACCTATTTCAACACCATTTAGGTACCATCCCAAGGCTTTCCAGGTGCTTGCTCATGGTGCCGCGGTGTCTAACGCCACTTTGATCAACGGGCAAGGGCGCTATCCCGGTGGCGTAAGTGCTGTATCGCACTTGCATATTCGGTTTCTAACACCACTTCTCTGCAGCCAGATGCATCGCTTGCTGTAGTCAACGTTCAGGCTGGCAAGCGTTATAGATTTCGGCTAATCTCCATGTCTTGCGACCCCAATTACTTGTTCAGGTATCTGTCTACTTACATGGTCTCTTCCACGAAAACTAATACTCCCTCAGTATTGACGGCCACAACTTGACGGTCATTGAAAGTGACGGTGTCAGTACCACACCGGTCACAGTAAATCAGATCCAGATTTATGCCGCGCAAAGATATTCCTTTGTTTTGACCGCTAATCAACCAGTCGGAAATTATTGGATACGGGCTTCTCCCAATACTCAGCTTGCAGGCACCCCAGCAAATGACCCGTTTGCAAATGGTATCAACTCTGCTATCCTGAGATATAATGGTATGTTCATTGACGCTCCAAGCTTTCTCTGGATCTCTGAAATTTGTAAAAGGTGCTCCCAATGCCGATCCCGTAACCATCGCACCATCATCATCGGGGGTAATTGGTATCACAGAAAGCCTAATGCACCCGCTCCAGAATCCTGGTGCCCCGGGGAGCCCGTACCCAGGCGGTGCTCACGTTATCAATATGACCTTAGGTTTCAATGCCGGAGCGTTCACAATCAACAATTATTCCTTTGTGTCTCCCAGCGTGCCGGTCCTCCTTCAAATCCTGAGCGGAACACAGCAAGCACAGAACCTTCTTCCGGAAGGTAGTGTTTTCGGACTTCAAAAGAACGAAGTCTATGAGATAAATATAAATGGTGGAACTGCACCCGGAGGACCACATCCCTTCCATTTGCACGGGGTACGTTGTCCGAAATCACTACCCATCAGCGCTCATTCGAACGGTTTCGGGTTATTTAGCACAATTTCGACGTTATCAAAAGCTTCGACAGTTCGGAATATAACTTTAAAAACCCTGTCAGTTATACTTTGCTTGTGTCATAGCCCTGTACCTACATTAAACCACAGGTCCGTCGAGATACGACTCCTGTGGCTGCGGGAGAGACGACAACAATTCGCTTTGTAACCGACAATCCTGGGCCATGGTTCTTGCATTGGTACGAAAACACATTTCCTGAATTATCCAAGTTCTGATCCAGTATTCAATTGAAACCAACAGTCATATTGACTTCCATCTTGCTGCGTGAGTTGACCAGTTATCGCTTTGCAATCGCACACTAACTAGTAATTTGTTGTATAGTGGCCTCGCAGTTGTCATGGCTGAAGACGTGCCTGATGTCAAGTCCAACAATCCAGTTCCGTGTACGTTTTGCTTCCTGCATCCAAAAACCTACGCCAATTACTGAACTCATATTCACAGTGGAGTGGGACGCACTCTGTCCTATTTATGATAATCTCAAGCCCGACCAGCTTTGAGTATGATTCTTCTTTCAATTTTCTGCTACTGTATCAGTCTGTACTCAGATATCACCACCACTTACTTAATTATAGCTCACAACCATTCAGAAACACGTCAGTACTTATATCAACGACCTTCGAAACGTTCTATGGACTATATGGACTTCTACTGCACTTTATCCTTTAGTAATTATACGATTATCATAATTGAATATCCATCTGTTTTCTTCCTATTTCCCTTTTTGGCCGATATTTTTAGCTTTGACCTCTGAGCGCTAAAATTGTTCCGCATCAGCTGCAGTAACACTGACAGGATTAGAATTTTAAGCCACTCCTTGAAACTCAGCCGATATTGCGGTCTCTCAGCGAGCGTGTCCAGCATTTCTCGCTCGTATCATTTCTCAGACAAAAACACAATAAGCAAGCCGGTCATAAGCCGGGCCCGCGGGAATCAGAACCAAAGTATCAAAAAAAAATTCTTTCTTTCCGTTTGTAGTCTGTTATTATTGTTTATACTGAGTTCCGGAATGGCTCGAGTATACCCAGCGGCAGATAGGTCATTCCAGACATCAATATACTGATGCTCGACTCTCAAGCTATATTGAGGTCAGGAACACCTTCAAGATATTTTATTGTATTATGGCCCTTCGGGGACACCAAAGACACTCCAACTTGGTAAATTCTGCCGGTGATACAACGGGTGGTTTCGGTTGTACCTACCCTTATTGTTCTCACTAAGTTGACGCACACGCTGCAATGCTGCTTAATGCACATAATAATATGCACGATGAGAATTGGCGTCAGTTTGGCTTCTTTTAGAGAGTGCAACAGCTATCTTCATCGCCCCTCAATTGTTCGTAAGGCCAGTGAAGCGTTTTGATTTGGCACGAAATCAAGGATAGGAGAAGATAAGAACCTTACCCCGTCAGCCTGACGATGAGCCGGACAGATCATTGACCTTGTACGACTAACAAGGACATGCGTTCAGTCAGATTTTTTGACGAGGCACCGGTGCCTGGAATCTGAAAGCTTTCTCCGTTATTGTCTTTATGTACATGAGCCCTTTTCAATGATCTCATTAACAATTAGGTGCTCGCTGCTAGATCTTGCGTCGATGAAGACGTCCCGAACCAGCCTCATTGCGAGGTATAAAACCTCAAAGGATGCACTGATTTACCCCAACAAATTCGCTTTGTCACCGATTCGTTCATCCTCAGTAGCGCCACCTACGCGTACTCAGTCCAATTTTCTAAAGCCAACCAACGTTCCACATGGACTCTTTCTCTACCCTCGCAACTTTCTTTGCTCGTAGTGACGATGAAGTCACAGCAACGAGTCCATTACCAGTCGAAGAGGAGGCCAACAGTAGCGCAAGCAACAGCTATTGCGTGATTGCCTGAACTCGAAACTATTAGACATTCTGCGTGAGCCATATTTTCCACTCGTGCCAAATCAGCTTACTCACCTTCAATTTCAATACAGAGAATTGTCTTCTACGCACACTTCATAGCCCGGGATATGAAGATTCATAAACATATACACGCGCATACTTCAACAGTCACACACAGAGCTTTGTCTTGACACTCACTACACTGTCCTTCATCACTTGCATTATCGTCAAAGGCCCGTCGATTCCTTGTCGTCACAGCCTATCCTTTCCTTGTGTCACATTTCCATTACTTATTCCCACTTCGTTCTGACCGTTTGTATAATTATTTTTTGTTCATTGTTCTGCTTCGTCTGGTTTCCTTTGATCATGTACATTTTCTGTTGCCATTGATAGTATTAGATGGGCATCGCGAGATTAGCAGAGGGACTCTGGAGGAATATATTCCAGGATACGTACCAGGCTCTGATACTCACTTCGTTGTACAGTTGTATTCAAAAGCATCTTGATTCTTCATGTATCCATTCTTGAATCTCGAGTGGAAGATATGTTCAAGTACTCGACTAATTCAACAATCAATTTCGAAGAGTAGCGTACTGGCCGAACTCTTGCTGTCTTCAACTCAGCTGTTTTGAAGTCTTCGAACTTGTTGTGGAACGGGTGTGGAATGCAGCACTTGGAAGCGCCCACTTTCAATACATAATTCACGTGGGCTAATTGGTCCATGACGTCCACGACCATTCGGATGAGGATTGGTCTGTAAACAACATTGCTCCCGTATTTCCATGTCCTTTCGCTTGTTGAAGAGCATTGACTCTGCAATACCCGTCGCCATCGTGCGACGCCATGATTATGCTGCAGTGGACCGTTACAGAACAATCTGTAATTTTTTCACAGTACGAAAAGATCTCCTCTACACAGGTGTGCTTCTAAATACACATGGAAAGACAACGCTCTAATGGTTTGTGGTTATAGGCTCACATGAACTCTCGTGTAGAAGCTCATTTCGCATCCAGTCCTTCCATTCCACTGCTTCACAATTGCGAAAGAAATCAGGCCCAGTGCAAGATATTCCGAGGCAGAAAGGTGCCAGGCCCGACCCGATTACACGGAATGCTGATGGTTCAGACCAGAAAGATCGCCTAAATTCTCCGGAGAAAGAGCTTCAGCAGGTTCAAGGTCATCATCCGTCCGAACCCCTACCTGTATCAGAGGAACAAACACGAACGGAAGATTCCCAATCAAATATTGTATCCGACGATCCTCAGCGTCATATACTGCCATATAACTTTCAATATTACTCTCGATCGTTCCGACAGCTAGCTATGTCGCTTCCACAACTTCATCGTCCGACGCAAGAAGACTTTCTCAGGGTGGCAGACGGCTTTTGGCAACGTCTTCGTATCCGGTTCAAGTGGTTTACCATCAAATCCTTTCGCAAATTCAATGCCGATGATATTTCAGGTATCGCAACATGGATACTTATGAGCCAGACTATTTGGATTCTAGTCGGAACGTATGCGCTCTTCACTCCTGGTGGAATATTTGCTAAAAACTCTCCCATCCAGTACCACATTTCTGTCTGTAATATTTGCCATTGTAAATAGCTTACGATTACAACGTGAGTTGTTCATTCTGCCATCTCGTTCGAAGCACTTCAAACCACGAGCTTCTTCCACAGACTTCGTGGCTCGAGGCATAAGCGACTATCTCACCTCCGAAACCGGAATAACTATCATATTCGAAAGTGCCATCGTCCCAAAATGGAAAGATTCGCGCATCTCCTTCAAAAATGTTTACGTGTCGCGGCGTCCAATGACCACACCTAGGCAAAAGTTAATTAATGCCCATATGGCTGCGGCTGGTATTGGCATACAAGAGTATCAAGACTTCGGAGAGTACGAAGAGGATGAAGCACATGTTGCCTCAGAGCAAGACACGAATTACTCTATGTTTGACCTCAATATCGACTCGGTTGATGTCACACTATCGCTATGGAGGTGGTTGGACGGCAGAGGGTTGGTAGAAGATGCCGTTGTCAAAGGAGTTCGAGGTGTATTAGGTGCTGTATCTGAATATCTATCTCTCGACGTTTCGTATCCTGATCCGATTACCGTAGATCGACGCTCCGTTTTGTACGATCCTGAACATCCTCTTGACCCTGCATCTTTTCGTCATGAGTCCCATGTGGGGGACTTTGAGCTAGATTCTCTTCAGCTTGAGGACGTCCTCATCACTGTATATCAACCTGGCGGTTTTAGGCCATACACAGCGTCCATTTTCCGCGCAGATATCCGAACTTTTCGTAAACGATGGATGTTCTATGATTTCTTGTCTGCGGAGAATATTGTTGGGCAATTTGACAATTGTTTGTTCAGCTTGCACAAGCCCCAAAGCATAGGACGTACCACGGGAAGTGAGTTGCATGACGGTGACTGGGCTCGGATGGTATGTGCTAATTGAACATGTGATCACTTGTGATATGTGATCTAATTATTCTTCGAGTAGTCGCGTATCCGGATTGACGGTGTGAGCATTGATCACCTTCAAGCCTCCACCTCGATGGAAGGCCCTGTCTCGTGGATAACTTCAGGCAAACTCGATGCGGTCCTGGACATCAAATTTCCCAAAGACCCGGATGACGCACTCGCATTGAATGTGATACTAGAAGAAATTGCCGATGCTATATCCAACACGTTATCTACCTCACCAGCTTTAGATCCTTTGCGTCAACGCATTCCTGGTCAGCGGGAATTAGCGAAACCTCCGCTGAGTGCTCCTGACACAGAGGAGTTCACCGCTTCTGTGAATTTGGAGCAAAGCAAGGAGCCTAAAGTGGTCATTGAGCTGGACCTAAGGTTTAGAGATGTCAAAGCTGCAGTGCCGATATTCACGAGCGACTTGTCGTACGTGAATAACGCACTGATCCGTCCTATCGTTGCCTTCATGAAGTACGTCTACTGCTATACAATCTGTGTAATTGCTCATGACCCCCAACCACAGTGCCAATCGGACCTTGGTCCCCATACATTGTCGAGTCGTGAAAGTTCTCAATGATTTTGATGGTGCTTGGACTGTAAGTCGCCACTTTTCTCTTTGCCCTTTCAACATATCTACAGTATCTACTCTAGATGTGGGAGACTGGCCTTCTTGACGAAATTTCGCTGAAGGTAAGTTGGGAGGCTGCTTCTATGGGACGCATCTCAAATACTCCTCCAGATGTATGACGCGTTGGCGTTCCATGTCACACAAGCCAACATTAATCGCCGTATCAAGACCGTTAGTGTCTGGAGTCTACAAATGACAGCTAGCGCTGTACTATCTGCGTTGCGAAACCTAGTCGATCCTGTTTCCATACGCGTTCGGGAAACATACTTGAAAGCTCTAGAAGAAAGGGAACGCTATTGGTTTAACGTTGAACTTTAGTTCTATATAGCATGTATCTGAGCAAGAAATTCACGTGAATCGCCGTCAGCCAACTTCACCTCCTTCTCCGCTTCCTGGTGCAAGTCGCATGATCGATGACATTTGAACTCGAACAGGTATAACCTTCTCTGGACTCATTTGAGCACCACTCTCTCAAGGATTCCAACAATAGATGAACCCTCAGTGGCCCTTATTTTTGGTCCCAGTATTTTCCGAAGTATGGCTTTTGAACTGGATACCTGTTATCTACAGCTTTTCAAGAAGACATTTGATCCACGCGACTTGTTTCGGAAGCTGAACTTGCGCGGTACTTAAACTGTTTTGAAGTCAAATCATGAGTTCACCTTAATAGCTCTTCAGTCTCGAAGATGGTCTTGCTTAATTTCCCGCTAGTACTTGGATTAATAGCACACTTTGCTGTAGCAGTGGTGATTAGGAATTTGGATACCGTCGTAAGCCAACCGTTCGATTTCATCGTCGTTGGAGGTCAACTATTTTGGAGCGACTCTTGCATTAGACCTCTACTAACTTTCTCTGAAATTCCAGGTGGCGCAGGAGGGAGTGTGATAGCTAACCGGTTGACAGAGAATCCCGATGTATCTGTCCTTCTTGTTGAGGCAGGAGGCTCGTAAGTTGCCTTTGATTTGAAATATTTGCTTGAAATTGACCTGCTCACATGTAGAAACGAAGGAGTGCTCAATGTTGCCGCTCCTGGATTGGTTAACTTTCTCGTCAACAGCGCTTGGGATTGGAACTTCACCTGTGGAGATATTTTTAACCAACTTCGTCCCCAGAACTCTGATTACCTTATCATCTTCTTCAGCCACACCTCAGAGCGCTTTGAACAATCGAACCTTGACTGTTTCTCGAGGGTTCATACTTGGAGGAACGACCTCTACTAGTAAGTCTTTTGAGAGGTGATAACGAATGTATGACTGATTGAGTGAATACTTACTCGTCTTCAGACCAGATGGTGTACACTAGAGGTTCCTCTGAAGATTACGATCTGTGGGCAAACATAACGGACGACGCAGGATGGTCATGGGATAGCTTGCAGAAATACATCCGGAAGGTATATAGCAGCTTCCATTCGCTGCTTGGCCTGTCTATTATTCCTTCAATTCTGAATATTTTCACACCTCTCCCACCTTGCAGAACGAACGATTTACCCCGCCAGCAGATCATCACAACACCACTGGTCAATTTGATCCCAATGTTCACAGTTTCGATGGCATCGTTTCAGTAAGCTTACAAGGATTTCCGAACGAAATCGACAATCGAACGATACAAACGACGTCTGAGATGAACAAAGAATTCCCATTCAATCTGGACATGAATTCTGGGTATCAACTTGGGATTGGTGGGCTTTTTGGTCCAATACTGTCAGTTGCATTTGATTAATCCAAGTGCCAGGTTGGGTGCAAGCTACAATCGGCGACGGGACGCGAAGTAGTTCCGCTGCGTCATATCTGGGTCCTTCGTTCATCTCCAGGCCGAACCTCCATGTGCTACTTAATACGCGTGTATTACGCGTACTCGAAAATGAGCCCCAACCATCCGACTTTCGTACTGTTGAGTTCACACAAGATAGTGGAGGTGCGCTTTGTAGTACGAACCAACACTATTTGTCTTAATAACTGTTGCCAGTCACGACGCATACTATTACCGCTTCCAAAGAAGTTATCATTTCAGCCGGAACTATCATGACTCCGCACATCTTGATGCACTCTGGAATAGGCGACTCAGAAGAACTTCATTCGTTGGGAATACAAACAGTTCATAATTTACCTTCGGTAGGAAAGAACCTCACAGAGCAACCCATCGTTAGAAATAAATGGCTAGTCAATTCCACCCACACGTTGGAGACAATCGCCCGAAATGACACTCTCCTTGCGGAAGTGACGCGGGAGTGGCAGCATCGTAGAATGGGGCCTTTGGTCGATCCTCCGCTGTCATTTCTTGGTTGGCTTCGCCTTCCAGGTAATTCGTCGATCTTCCAACAAGTTCCGGATCCTGCTGCTGGTCCAAATACATCACATTATGAGTTGATAATCACCGTGAGCAGCTAGCCGTTGAGTCAAAGCGTAATCTTAACCACTTCTGTTCATTCAGAATGGCGCGTTAGCGCAGCCTGCTCCTGCAACTGGTAACTTCTTAACCTTCAGCACATCTGTTTCTTCTCCTACTTCCAGTGAGCTCCTTTTTTTGGCATATAGATAGACTAAGAAAAGGTTCTTACAGGAGGATCCATCACATTGAATTCCAGCAATCCACTTGAATATCCACTGATCAATTTTAATCTATTCAGTACGACTTTCGATCGTTTCGTAGTTCGTGAGGCTTTTCGAAACACAAAGAAGTTCTTGGCCGCGCATAGCTGGGATAATTACATCTTGAGTCCACCCACCAATGCAACTACAGATGAAGAACTTGATGAGTACATCAACCAGAATGCGGCGACTGAAAATCACCCGGTTGGTACTGCGGCGATGTCCTCGAAGAGTGCTGCATATGGTGTTGTTGACCCAAATTTGCGAGTCAAAGGCCTCTCAGGACTACGAATTGTCGATGCATCAGTATTCGTACGTACTTGCGCCAGCGTCCTTGAGGAGGGAGACCAAACTGACGTTCGATAAAGCCCAGACTTCCAGCTGCTCATACACAGGTTCCTGTCTACATAGTCGCCGAGAGGGCTGCGGACTTAATCAAGGACGCCTGGGGAATATCAAAAGAGGATACGGCTTGATTATATATATCGTAGCTTGTAAATAAGGGCAAGAGCTTTTCCTACTTGAATAGTGACTTGACGAGTTAAACTTGTAAGCTTGCGTCTCCCCAAATTGAATTTGCGACATAGAATTTGAGTACTGTCAACCCTAACCCCACTGTACGTACCCTTCTCGACCATCAAAAGTTCCATTTACCCCTCTGACCAAATTTGTTTCCTCGCATTTCTCGCATTTTGCTCATTATTCTTTCAGCACTCACCACCGATAACAGCAATAGTTCATGTCTCGCTTTGTCAGAGCATCAAAATATCGGTAAGTTTCTTTGCACTGAGGCCCAGTCAATGGCTCGCGCTTGGGTGATCAGCGGAATGGCGAGAGAGGGTGGGCAATTTCTGCTGGTGACTCAGAGCAAATGCGGATGGGAGATCCTGACAGTGTGTTCCATTTCTCATGTTATATCTTGTGCCAAATCAATGAAAATTCATTAGTACTTCACTTTCCGCGCTAGCACTGGGCCAGTAGTAATACGTCCATACTAACTGGCTTACTCCCCAGACACGTCTTTGGCCAGTCGGGCAAGAAGGAATACATCATTGAAAATGTCAAAGTAACCAACAACGCCTGGGATACCAACATTATCGCTGCATCTGGAGTAACTATATCGACTAGATCCTTAGTTCACTATATTTATCATTGACCATTTACAGAAATACGTTAGCATCAACTGGAACGCCTCCGGAGGAGGTGCTTTTGCTATTTTGCCCCTTCCCTCTCCTTTTCATACTATCTCTGGCTTTCCACACAAGCTTCCGGACACTCTACCTCTCGCTCGAAGCCATACAGCATCTGTCCTTGATACAGACTGGTCTCCTCATGATGATTCACTTGTCGCGTCCGGTGGAGATGATGGAAAGGTCATGATATGGAAGGTCGATGATAGCGCGTTTGAAGGATGGGGCGCAGATCATTGGGTTCCTAAAGATTTCGATCCTGTATGGCGTATCGACGCATCACCCCGCAAAGTCGGCCAAGTTCTCTTCCATCCGACAGCCTCCAACGTCGTCGCGGGTGCTACCGGAGATTACACTGTGAAACTCTGGGATCTTGCTCGCACAGAGGATCCACGAAATGTTCTCTCAGGTCATAACGACGCTATCCAGAGTCTAGCTTTCAACTCAACTGGAACGCTTTTGGTGACTACATGTCGTGATCGTAAGCTGCGGTTGTTCGATCCACGTGCTGGTAGCGATGCAGTGCGCGTCACGGACGGACATGGCGGTATCAAAGGCGCCAGAGTGGTCTGGATGGGTGATCATGACAGGATCGCAACGACTGGCTTCAGCAAGATGTCTGATAGACAGGTGGCCATTTGGGAGACGGGCAGTTTGAGCAATCTGAAGACAACGACTATAGATCAGAGTTCAGGTGTAATGATGCCGTTCTGGTCTGAGAATAACATCCTGTTCCTTGGTGAGTACCATTACATCTATGCATTTCTGTACTCATTATGATCTTTCGTTCTTGCAGCTGGAAAAGGGTAAGCGATTCTCCGAACTTATCTCTAATGATCGCTGACTATTACATAGTGACGGCAATATTCGTTACTATGAATATGAAAATGATAATCTCTTCGCTCTTGACGAGCATAAGAGCGTTGATCCTCAACGCGGAATGTGTTTCCTTCCTCGACGCGCCCTCAATGTTGCCGACTGCGAGATTGCAAGAGCTTACAAGATAGCCGGATCAAACATAGAACCAATTGCTTTCATCGTTCCGCGAAGGGTATGTAGCGACGCCTGATTATGCCCTACTGTCCACTAACATTTTGTCTCATATTTACAACAGGCTGATGGTTTTCAATCTGACATTTTCCCTCCTGCACCCTCCTCAGAACCCAGCATGTCAGCAAACGATTTCTTCTCAGGCAAGAACGCTCCTAGGAAGGTTGTCGATCTAGCTAGCGGAGCTTCATTCGTTTCTTCTGCTCCCCCTTCTGCTGTACCTGTTCCAGTCTCTGCTTCCATGCCCTCTCCTGCTCCGTTAACCCCTTCCTACTCCACGCCTGCGCCTGCCTCGCAGACGCCTTCCGCACCCGTTATCACAAAATCTTACTCCATCCCGACTCCTAGTTCTACGACTACGGCGGAGCCTCCGTCGCCTGCTCCTGCCCCTACGATACAGAAATCCAACTCTAGGGACGATTCTACTCTAGGTCAAGAGAACGCTCAACTCAGAAAGGAATTAAGGGAGGCTCGAGAGTTGATTCGGAATTTGGAGTTGCAGGTTGAAGCTCAGAGGGCGAACGCGAGGAAGGCGGCGCAGGCGTTGCTGGACGCGGCATGAGGCTGTCGTTCATTCATTATCTTTTTGGCTATGTTCCCTGTAGGCTCGTCAGTTAATACTCGTGATACAAAGACCTGCATTATAACTATACTAGCAGTGACCCGTGCGATGCACGTTAAGCAGCTAGTCCCGCTCGGGGTGTCGCGTTACTCCGCCACCGAGCAATGGGCGCTTAATTCGAATTAATTGCCTTTGTCAATGCCGAAATGCCGATTAATTCTTATTGAGCCCGAGTTTTTCGCTTTCACTTTGCTTCATCATGCCTAAAAACTCTGTACCTTCAGCGACATCCAAATCAGCCGCCAACCGAACCCTTGCTCAATCTTGGGCTGGTACTTTCTGTCAACTCTCATCTTCTCGCTTATTCTGATTTTCGCTATTTGGTATCAAACTATCCGCACGACAAATGCTCTTCGGTACTTCAAGCCCTTCCTGCTTCAACACGCGTCAAATTTTCGTTGGGTATCTGCGCTGTTGCCGCAGCAGGGATATATCTCTCGGATGTATTGGAAAAACGGATGTCTGCTGAGCCAAGAGAGAAGAGTGATTAAATTGTGCGAAGTCAGACACGTACAGAGGTGAATTGTTATTCGTAATAATGGTAGCTTGTTTTAAGGATGGTGCGTAAGAGTGCTGTTGCTCCTTTATACAGGCTGATAACGGATTCCGCTTCCAAGGATCTCATATAAACATCTACTTATACCACTACCAAGCATTAGGCACCTGCCTACGTCTCTTGCCTGCGTTTGTTCAACTTTGACTCATAGATGGAACCGTGTTATAAACTTTCCTGGGTACTGCGTTTGCTTTGCTACTATATGCAACACTTCAGCCTATCTGAATCTGGATCGGACTACATATGTAACAAAATTCAAAAAAGACAGTCAAACCTTTCATCGATGCTTGCGCAACAAAAGTGTAGATTGGACACTACTATCGAACAGAACTTGATTGTCAATGGAATGTTGGGGTAAGAGGAAATCCTAGTTACCGTCTTTCTCGGACGCAGTCTAAAAATGAAACAAATCATCCCTTGTGGTGTTGTGCTTCTTCTTCTGAGCTTCAGCGCTTCTGCGATGGTATCTTCAGTGCCTTTTGGTATCAGTACGTTTCATTTACAGTGCGACTACTAGATGTGTTCAACATGAGCGGTCTGTGTGGCAGTGGCATTTAATCACTATATCCTTCGCTACTCAAGCCCTTCTCTGCCGATCCACGTCCTTCACAGCCCGCGGGCCCAGGGCGAATTAGAAAGCCTCCCCTACCCCTGCCGAGTAATAATTCGGTGTTGGTTTGGCCGCTCTCTTTGTTGCAACTGGAGCAGCTCCTTTAACGGCAATCGACGAACTCTCACGAGAGGTTTTTAAAGCTGCATCTCCATAATGCATCAAATAACGCCCTATAGAGGAAGGTTGGACATCGAATGGGTCAATTTGACCGCTGAGTCGAGGATGGGAGAAGAATCGTTGACGGATGCGGTGTTTGTACCGGCGATAAATGAATGTTAGGGTAAGAAGGAGAAAGAGCGTAAGGATTCCTCCAATGCTCCCACCTATTATCGCTGTGCGATCCAAACTCTTCTTTTGTCCTAGGGGTTCTGCCACCGATGTATTACTAGGTGACAATGTTGACGCCGTAGTAGATGTAATAGGCTTATGAGAGGTAGATGAGGATATGAATGAAGGAGGTATGGTAGGTGTGCTGGAGATGCTGGTAACACTGTGTGAATGGGAACTTCATGATGGTTGAGATACGATAATCATATATAAGGCTTACGAGGTGGAGGTCGAGGTCGAGGTCGAGGTCGAGGCCGTCAGAGTAATTGGAGGCGACGGGCTGGCATCATTGTCAAAGCTTCAATCAAGGGCTGAGTTACTGGAGAAAATCCATATAATTGGAAAGGCACACACGTATACCTCGCATAGTCAAACTGTATGGTAAGCATGTCGACTGTAGAAGCACCTATCATGGTGAAGGTGTGCAGAACTTGAGACAAATTGCTGAGTGATAATACACTGACATTGTACTGAGTGACACCACTGAAATCGCTTTTATGTGTGAAACTTTGCCCAACCGGTTGGCCATCCAAGGCGAAGGATAAATTGTAAGTCGACGTGTAATCCTCTAACGGTCCGTCCTCAAGTATAAAGTTTGGCAGCAAGCAATATACATCTAGAGATATCCCTGTGGGCAGAATAAGATAAGCTTTCACGATACCAGAGCATCCCCAAGAAAATAGCGAGATAGACACATATCTGTGAAGTTAAACTCGACAGTTGCAGCGGGATCCGGCGTCTGATGTGTAATAGAGTGCCAAGTGCCATGAAACATCTGTGTAGGATCAAACGCCAAAAAGCAGACGATGCACGAGTCTCCTTGCTGCCAAAAATTCGAAGGAGTGTAGATTGGGACCAGCCCGGTGACAGAGTCACCGTCTTCATCGTCGATATATCCAAACTGGAATATTGCATGACTTTCGGCTATAAAGAGTATAGTCAAAAGGAACAGGAAGGGAGATTCGAAACCTGAAAAGGTGCAAAAGCAAAGGAAGGTGCCATGCATCGTCGTCTGGTGGAGATATGAGGGTTTATCGATATCGTTTATCCTGGATATTTGGAAATCCTTATAAGATAAAGACTAAATACATGTATATATCCCCTAATCTTCTCAACTCAGTTGCGGAGTTTGGGCATCCTGGTGTAGCATGAATCGCGGTTAGGCAATGTCTAGAGGTTACAACGAGAGGGAGATTAAAAATCTATCACGGAATTGATCCTAGTGCTAAAAAAGCATAGGGACGATAAGACTGGAGGCATCGAGTTGCGGTCTCGCATTGTTAGTGAAGGCAATTCCGTGAGACTTTGACTTTGTGATTTCGAGGGTTGCTCTGAAATATGGACGTTCCCACGAAGCTGGCACGTGCCGGTTGAACTGTTCTCCGAACCCTTTAGGAATCAGCAGCACAGGCATTCGACTTATCCTTCTTAAGTCTCCCGGTTATTCTCGCTCAAAAGGCTGTATCAAAACATACAAGGGCTTCCGCGATCGTACTCATAACTTCTGCTTTCGGCAGGACTGAGGACGCCCACCCTGGTCTTCCCTGCTCCTTCAAGCTCTTAATAGTCTTCAAGTTAGCAGCGTCTTAGCTCTCGATTCCTCCAACCTACCATAGCAAACCAGCTGCATTGCCTGCGGAGGATATACCGAGAAAGATCGTTTCGAAATGTTCATCCCGTCATCGGAAACAACATCATGTAAGTTGCAAAATGGCTATCAAAAAGTATCTAGTCCAATTCACAAATCATGATGCTCGAGACTATGTAATCGCGCCTTGAAGTGGGTATGTTCCTCGGATGAAAATATTTTTCGTAGGGCTGGATTTTCCTTCGTCATAGGTATGTATCCCGTTCGTTGCCATTGACATTATCTTGCGAACAATTGCCATTGCAGGAAAGGGAAGGAAGACGAGCGGTGAATTAATCAGCACGGGAGGCGCCCTAGAACACCTCAAGAAAGACGTTCGTGTAAGTAAATTACTTACAGTGTTCCGTATATAGTCACCTGAAGTTTGAACGACCTGGCGCCGATATTTCTTTTTCGACTGTCAGAAGGTGCCAAGATCTTCTCTTGCGATGACCGAATAATCGTATCATGTCTCGTACGTATTCAAGCCCTTTCTATAGGATACGTACAAAATGATTTACCCAACGGAAGAAAGAAGTTGCAGACGCAAAGCTATCGTCTCTGCTATGCCTTAGGGACAAGACTAGAGGGGAAGATGGTGGATCATGGTACATGAAGGTTCATGTAGGTGGCAAGGATGTTCACCCCACTCGCAATAACAACTCCATCAAGATGAGAGTCAGTCAGTCACCTCATGGACTGATCAAACCTCGATCAGGCTTTGTTTCGATTTTTATGGCAAGGTTCTGATACATCCAATATCAATTCGCACTGCACCTTGGGGTGCTGCCTCTTCGCGCTTGAGGAACGAAAGCGGAAGAGAGAGAAGTTATCTCATTTTGACCATCATGTGATGACTCGTCCTCAAATTCGGCGTTCTCGTGGAAGGCCTGAATGTAAGGCTGTTCAGTCCTTTGAGAAACCACCAGGATCAATCACTGTACTTACAGCAATGTTGCGCGATTTGGAGATCTAGGGTTGATTGAGATATCTATATCTGTTTGTTCCGAGTTTTGAATCTTTGGGGGCTGTGAGTGGAAACTGGACAACCCACCTACTTTTAAAGCTTACGGTCACATCCTCGATCCTCACACCCTGTAGTACGATGAGCTGGAACTTGAATGGCTTGACCTTCGCGATCAACGTTGGCGAAACCTATGGTGGAATGATGGTTGGATTGTTGCTGGCGGCGCTGTACGTGGTATATTCTTGAGATCGCTTGTCAAATAATATCTCATCCTTCTCAGCTTGTGTGGGACCGCGAGCATACAAGCTGCCATCTTTTTCTGTGCAAAAAAGACAGACCCAATCTCCAATAAGATATCGGTGCGATATCGCCCATTTGCAGTACATGTTCAACATAAGAACTAACTAACTATGTAGGTCGGTCTACTATGGTTAATGTCGTTTTTCACTCAAGTCTATCAAATCGGAATTGAACCCTGACTTAGGGTGTTGGACGTGTTGCAACTGTGCTTTGTTTTCAATTCGACATACTTCTACGTTGTTGATCAAGTAGGAGTGTCCTCCCCGCCATTCATCTGGAGTTTCCAAGTGAGAGCTTGCCCTGCCATTATCCGTCTCTCTGGTTCTCAATTTATTTGTGTTAGATACAAATCTTCATGCAGGTAAGTAAGAAGTAAGTTCTCTCATCCAGCTTGTTCTGATCAACGGACCTCAGACTCTTATCATGAGCTCAACGAAACTGTGAGCATCGAATTTCCCTTTTAAGACTCCATAATGATCTCCTTATATACAGGCTTTATACGAGTCGCTTGTGGAAACGTGAGTTGTCAGACCTGATCAACGTGATTAGTTTACTTAGATATCGGTGCAGTCAAACACCTTGTCTCGAAATGGGTCCCAATTGGATTGGTAGGTTTCCATTCATTCTGTGGAAGATGGCTGATGGCCCGGATAGATCGTTTATCTATCTATTGACTTTGGTCTGTATCTTTCATTTTCCCGTCTGAAATCAAATCTGATGGTCCGGAACCATCCATAGGTTTGGGGGCTGGTGCGTCTTTTCATTGAGCACAAGAAGTGTATACTAATCATGTTCATGGAACTAGTGTTTGCTTATGAAGTGTGAGCTCTTACAACGATGTTCTACATATTTATCCAATGTCCAAACTTTTTCCAGCTTTACTGTCGACGTATTACCTGATCTTGCGAGCGTAAAATTCAAAGTAGCTAAAAACACTCTTTCCAATCTTACGGCGAGAACTAATTGCTTTCTAGCCCATTGTCATCTTGTCAATGTGCAGTACTTCAGTTTCTGATTTACTTGTTGGCGGAACACTACTTTATGCCCTTGCCAAGTCCCATACGGATCTGAGTTGGTAAGAATTTCGCCGTTATAAATCATGATGTTGAGTTAATGCCCGATATTACTTACATTGTTTACATAGGACGAGTTCGAGCGGCACGATGCTTGTGGCTTATCTCGTGAACACGGGAATCATCACAGGGTACGTTCATTTTTATTGACTGACGAAGTACCTGGGCTAGAACTTGATGTTTTTGTTGTAGCATGTTCTCCGTAGCAGTTGTCATAGCAGTACGACCACATCCAGCGATTTCTAGACTATCTACTGACTCGAGAGGTTGTTAGTTTGCCATAGGCGTACAACATCCGTTGTACATTGTCTCAGAAATAGCTTTACCCCAATGTAAGGTGTTATGGTCTCCCAATGTCTTCATACTGACTCAATGTAGTTTATATCAACTGCTGCTTTTCAATGTAAGTTTCATCCAAACAATATACCATCTCTTGATTAGATTGATCACTTGCATGGAAAGGTTGAATGCGAGTGTTTACTTTCAGACAAATCAGGCCTCCAAAGTTCCACCCATAACACACATATTACCTTACTTCAACAACGACGACCCTACAACCTCCATCCTTTTAGGCCAATCTCCACCCAACTCGAGTTCTAGATTGAATTTAAAGCTCACCGGAATGGCAACATCAGACACGAACGTTCCCACCATTAATGAGATAGGTCTTCCGCTATTCCAAGTGGAAGATAAACCCGAGGTAAGTCTTTAATTTTTTATGATTGCGTTTTCTCGTGTAAATGATGATACCCGGTTCTATTCAGCCTATAGTACGTCAAATGCCTGTTGAGGTCGTGATACAAAGGGCTCACCATGCGATAACTTCGGATTTGCGACATGGACGCGGCACTGTGGTTGTTCATTCATGAAAGTTGGGTCCTATGTAACTCCTTGCCCCTCACAGAGATAAGATATTCAAATTTTCCCCCTGACCGATGTATAGTCACGATTTTGCGATGGCTAGCTTTGACTTCCCTAATATGTCGATCGTTTCTTATAACTAGCTTTGACCTTCTAACATGTTGATCATCCAGTACATCCTATCCCAGCCATAGTATCATAGTAACAAAAAGTTTGGAACTTGAATGACAAGTGACCCTCTGAGTGCATCGGAAAATCCAATATATATTCTGCCGATCGCTGATATCGATACTGCTTGATTATCGACGTCCCCGAGTGCTGCCCGAGAATTTATGATGCTTTTCATGGAGACTGAGAATCCTTACCCGGTCTGCATACGTCAACTTGTGATCGTATAAATACCCATGACACGCAAAGTTATTGGGTTCCCAAATAATCACCATGGCCGACATCACTCTGCCCAAGTCCACCTCTACCGTTTCAGTAAAAGCGTTGAACATCGCTTCACCAAGAACAAGTATACCCGCCGCCCTATTCGTTACCCCTGTCAAGCCAGGAAGAGAGCGACTGGCGTCGCCCGATTATGCCTTCCTCATTGAGCACCCGAGTGGACGCAAGGTTTTGTTCGATCTAGGGCCGATGAAGGACTTCAGTAAGCTCCCTCCCGCGATGCAAGGTTTGCTTGCGCAGGGTGGATTCGAGATGAGCGTTGATGCCGATATTACTGAGCAGCTCAAGGCTGGTGGAGTGTCAGTGGACGATATCGACAGCGTGATATGGAGGTGAGTGAGGAGGGTTCGATGTTATCGTACATTGCTGACTGTATTGACAGTCATTCGCATTTCGATCATAGTGGTAAGCACATGCGAACCCATCCCGTAGTGGAATTTTCAGAATTTGAATGCCATGCCAGGCGACATGTCATTATTCCCTGCAAAAACGAAGTTGATTGTCGGAAAGGGTACGGACAGAAGGACGTTCCCATCAGTTCCTGATGCCATGCTTCTCGAGAGCGACTTTGCGTATGTGCCTTATATACACAACAAGAGATCCACGGCTGATTTTCATGCCTAGAGGACATGAAGTAGTTGAAATCAATTGGGAAAAACCAGATTTCACTATCGGCGAAATACCTGCCATCGACTTCTTTGGTGATGGTAGTTTGTACCTCTTGGATACGCCAGGAGTGAGTATAGTCTTTTGAGCTGGCATAAGAGTGTCACACTGACATATACCGATGTAGCACTGGCCTGGACATCTCTCTGCGTTGGCCCATGTCAAAGAAAACTCCTTCGTACTCCTCGGAGCTGATGTCTGCCACCACCCAGGCCAGCTGAGACCCAACCCGCATATACACAAGAATTTCCCTTGCCCAGGAGGCATTCTCGCCGACCTTTCAAAACCTATCCTGAGCATCCCAGAAGGATTTTCCATGTACGCTGATAGAGCCAGTGCTCTTGTTTCTCAGGAGAAATTGACGGTCATTGACGCACATCCCGATGTATTCGTGATCACTGCACACGACCCGACCTTGGACGGTGTTATCACTTTGTTCCCGGAGACTCTCAATGACTGGAAGGAGCTCGGATGGAAGGGTAAGGCTTCATGGGCATTCTTGGAGGAAGGCAATAAGGGCTATGGATTCCATTAAGAATAAAACACAGATATCATTATAAATACTTGAGAAGAGAAGAAGGAATTTGTACCATTATTTATTAACTTGAACTTGTCGAATCGTGAGCACTCCCATACAATTCGAATTTCAATTTGACCAGGATGACAATTAGAACTTGGGCGCTTATGATTGTGGAAAAATATTGCCGTTTTAAGCCGCCTACACTTCACGCGTCTCTAATGACGTCGAACAATATTTCGCTCCATGAATTCATCACAATTATGTACCGCGCAAATCAAAGTTCTCTCATGCAAGCACCACCGATTCAACTTGTAAATTTTCTGTAAAGTTTCTCAATGTTGTACGACAAGACGCCGCAATATCCTCATTTTGCTCATCTACCTTTCGCCAAGGAACCTTTCAAAGCGATATATGTCTTCCAGCGAATCATTACCACTGTCCTCCTCGTTCCCATCTGGATACTATCCAATCTATCTCGCTCTCGACGTCCTCGAAAGTCATGGTCTTTGCGGCAGATAGTGTTCGTCAACTTTACACGCCGTATTTACCGTGTAACGGAAGTTGCTGGTGTTACTTGGGGTACTCGGAATCCTGAAGATGAACCTGGAACGAAGGAGCTCAAAGAGACGACATTCGAATGGGCACCTCCTTTGAAAGAATCTCTCAGAAAGGGTGTTGCAGTGGATAGGTTCAGAAGGGTGCCGTATAAGAGGGTTGGATGCTTTGTATGGCGTAAGGAAGCCCTAAACAGTGATTTTTCACCCTTTACGCGGTGTTGATGCAGGCTGATTTGATTCAGAGCATCAGATACCGGTAGTTGGGGTATTTTTTCATGGTGGAGGTTTCTCTCAACTGTCTGCACACGAAAAATCCAGGACCTCACATATACCACGACGTTTGATGAGAGATAACTTGTTCACGGAAATTTATGCCGTCGAATATCGTTTACTACAACATGCGCCTTTGCCTGCGGTAATCATGGACGCTGCAGCTGTCTATTCACATGTTGTTAATAAATATTACGGCCCAGATTATATAAGGTACGTGTTTTTCATGCTTGTACCGCTTAGGTCAACTCATCGTGAAGACAGGTCAACCGAGCAACCGTTGAGAAAGCCCTGCAAAATCTTGCTTTTAGGCGATTCCTCGGGTGGAAACTTAGCTCTCGCTCTAGCGCGATGGATACGGGATGAGCAAATCTTACCTACGCCCGATGGTTTACTACTGTTCTCAGTGAGCCTTCACGGTTGTACTTTATTTCATTAAAAACTGATGATTTTTTCCCCAGCCGTCTTGCGATACATCCCACGCATTCCCTTCGACTCATTCTTCGTACATCCCTCGACCTCACGCAAGCACAGATTATCTTACGGATACTCCTGAGCCAAGAGCCCTGATGCAGAGGACCTTTCTTGGTTTTAAATACCGACCTGGAGGAACTGGCTGGGGGCAATGGAAGCGCGGAAGAAACAGGGAAGGGTGAGCAGGTTTCTCATAGCTCCACACGCCGTGAAGACTGAAAGGAGCTTTGACCATTAGCGGAGATCAAATGGAGCGACATTTCCATAAATCCACGACCAAGGGACTGGCGTTAGCTGTGGCGAGTGTCGCTAGTGCAAGCACCTCCAAGCTCGTACGAGGCGTGAAAGATGTTGCTACAAAATCTATACATGCTGGTAGCAGCCCTGTATCCTCCGATATAGAGTCTTCGCCACATGGTTTACCGCCACCGTCAGCATCTCTTGCAACTGATGTTATCGACGAAGAAGAAGAGGGAATCCGTGAGCATTGGCCGGGTACGCAGGAGGTCACCGAAGAGGAGAGCGCAGAAGGGAAGGAGGAACGCGAAAGGAGAGAAATCGAGGAAGAGACGAGGTCCCTGATGGAGATTATCCACTCAGAGTATGTTAGCCCTGCAAGTCCACGGGTACTGCGTCGTTGGGGTCACATAGTGGATCTTTATGATGGCTCCAGACTAGGCGATAGATCGTCGAAAGCGGATGCTTCCTCGTTAGAACCATCCAACAAGACACGGGTATGGTTAACACCCAATATCGCATACGACCAGTTTGATTGGGAGGTGAATGCGCATAGTAATGGTGCGAACCCACAACCTTCAAACGATACCCCAAATAACAACACCTCCGAACCCCCATCATCAAAGGATAAGATCTCCTTTGCCGTACCCGAAATCAAGCAAACTGATTTTGCATCTACGTCCCAGTCAGAGTCACAAAACCCGAATCGCCCACCCGTCCTCCGGAATCAGGATACATACACCCCTCGGAATCCCGCCCATTCTTATCCGAGCAGGTATCCTCAGTTCCACACGTTATTCGCGCAATTTCCCAAGACCTTGATCCTCATCGGAGACGCAGAGCGGCTGACTACGGAAGTCGGAAATCTCGCTCGGGCTATGGGGAAGGACTGTGATTGTGGAGGTGGAGGTGGAGGTGGAGTTGGAGCTGAGACTGCCAATATGAAGGATGCAGGGAATAAAGAAGAGGAAGATTTACCTCGGGAAGGATTGGTATCTCTGGGCGGAGGGTGTGTTCAAGTCAGGTGGATCCCCGATGCGGTTCATGATGTGTTTATGATACCTCCCGGATGGTGGGACGAGAAGATCAAAAGTGAGGTATGGGAAGATGTTAAAACTTGGATGACAGGATTTCATGAAGCATCTATAATGTAGAAATAATGTTTGCGCCATAAATTATCGCCTCAAGACGCAGTGATACAAGCTAATACAAGACGCCGAACAATCACTATGAATTTGTTGTAATACTGGTACTACAACGATAGGGTAAGTTGAAAGGAAAATTGAATGTCTGCGATAAGCTTTTTCAAGAAATTTATGTTCGGTTCGTATGAAGTACATACATCAATTGTGAATTGTCACGGTCAAGAGTATGACCTTGCCATCGATGGCGATGTCTTATATAAGGCCATTATGAGACTAAGAAACGATTGGTATTTTCTTGGACTTACTGTGATTAATCCCTTGGGTACCGACAGGGAGCAGTCCTTCGATAGTCTGAGCAGTAGTAGTGTACTTCACTCCATCGAACTGACGTTCCCCGATAGCACCAGCGACGAGAGCATCCCTACAGCGAATTCAGACCGATTATTCGTACAAGTGCTGAGTTGGAGAGCAGACAAACACGTACCTTCCCGCATCGTATCCGTTAGGTTCAATATTATGGTTTGTCGAAGCTTTTTCTTCGATGGAAACACTGAAAGATCAAAGAAGAAATCATGAATTGCAACAGAAAAGTCTTCTTTCCAGGGAAAAGGGAGAAAGCTTACGCTAAGAACAATGCGCAGGTACCCAGTTGCGGATAAATGCTGGAAAGAGACAAAGTCGAAGTGCTGTGAGTGGCCGAGTAGTAGGCGAAAGACGAAAACCTCTGAACATACCGGAAATGATTTCCACCGATGACACTCTCTTCGCAAGTTCCAAATACCGAATTTCCGTAGTCTTGACGTATAACCGCCTACAAGAACCTGACTTAGTTGGACAGCTATGTCAATATAAAATCGACAATACAGTTTGATTGACCCAACCACGACCGTCTCCTAAGTTTGCTTGTTGCGGATCGCCAATATGGAACCCGAGGCACTCGTAAGAGCTATCCACGGTATATGAACAGAGTCCGGTGTGGTAAAACCACGAAAGTAAAAGTCTTACTTACAAGCCAATTGCGTTTGCATAGTTGTAGAACTTCCCCGTGGCATCCAGGACATCTGGGCTGCTCCGACCAGAAATGATGACCTATAAGTATTTCGGTGAGTCTCTCAGATAATTAGTGATCAAGTCCGATGGAGTCACGTTCAATGGTTCACCGAGACCACCAGACGCGTCGAGCATCGATCCGCCGTTGACTCGAGGGTCAAAGTATGATCCACCTTGTCCGCATGCTAACTGAGTATCAGTGCTCTGGTCATGGGCAGTAGGATGTGCAAAAATCAAAGCGGCATTGAGTCCAACTGAGACCAGAGCGCAGATAACAGGAAGTTGCATGCTAAGTGAACGCAATAGGTGACAGACCAAGGGAGGAAGTTTGGTGTCGACGATCGACAGGAAGGGTATTTTTGAAGGATGCCAGTTTCTGTATAGCCGACTAAGAGAACCAATTCTTGCTTCTTCTTTAGTGAACTGCCTGTCTTTTAAATTATGATCATGTTCTTGGATATTGGATAGCCTTTGAAAGACGAAAAAAGATGTAAGAATCGGAGTTTCCATGAGGTACTGAGTTCTAATTCCTCTTAGGTCCACTGCAGATAACACAAAATTTCGGCCACAACAAGCAAATCCTTATCGCACCAATTTGAATGGTAGAATATGTAACCTCAGGAATTTTAGTGTTGGTTCACTGTAGAAAAGGGCAAAAAAGGACTTTTGGTCTAAGTGCATGAATTAATTTTCAAATTACAATCACCCGACACCGATACCGAGTCCATTCCTAGTTTATACTGTAGTCAGCAACGATTTAGAGGTAGGCTGGGATATCTGGCGAGACATAGCAAGTTGAACTTTTTGTTCCAGGTTTCCAGACTAGTCGCAGTCACCAAGGGAGTGGCCATGGGAGACACGTGCGCGGGGCCGCCGGAAGACATGGGCAAATCAGTCAACGACAAGAAGAGAAAGACAGTATTGATCCAGTCTAGATCATCTTCGATGGTAGGATGCTGTCTCAACCTTGGGTCAAAGTATGGCCCCGTTTGAACCATTCCAAATTCCTTCTGTCTGCCCTCCAACAATGCTATGGTCTGCGACTGCAACTCTTGAACATCTTTAATGGTATCGAATATGTGTTTTCGAAAGTCAGCCGAGTCACCGAATCGACATACGAGGGAGCTGGTTTTGAAGACGGAACCAAGGAGTATTGTATTAGTAGGCGAGGGTCGCCATGAGACTTCCTTGACTTCCTGGACATGGGTTACTGTTTTACCATGCTCATTCTTGTGATAGACGACCACAGGCTCGAAGCCAATTTCATCGAAGAACAGTGAAAACCTGGTTGTGTCTGTCAATGGTCCAGGAAATTGCCATGCTATAGTGATTGCCATTTCGCCCTTTTTACCTGGGATAAGTCATCAGCGCTCAGCCTTGGGGCGACGGTACATATACTATCACTTACGTCCTCGACGATCGAGTTGATGACTTGTTGCAGCAATTGGACTGGCGAACGCGGTCATTCTGAGGAGGACAGTAAAGAAAAGGCAATGAACAAAGGTATTTTGTAGGAGGAGCATGGATGAGGGAGCTTCCTGTCAGTGCAAGATTAGTTGACATTGTAATTGTAAAGGACTAGCACATACAAGTTACAGCAACTGAACGCAGTCGAATTGAACTTGAGATGCACGTCGGTCAACCAATGAAAGGCGGATATGTATGTAGATACCAAGTGACTGCTGAAACTGATAGGTTCGACCCGCGAACCTAGTAGCCAATGCGTCGTTGGATTCAAGCTCCCCTGAGTTTGAGGACCGATGAACTGGGTTTGAGTGAAAGGGAGTACCAGAGTACTGACTACAGGCAAACAAAAGATACCGGACCGAGTTTCACCGATGCCGAATCCGTCGCTGTTCATCGACATCTTGGGTTCATCTTGCGACGTTCAACTTTTCAGCAACTTCATCCTATAATGAGCTGGTCAGGGTGTGTCAATATTTCCTCCACCTCATCTGCTTTGCCCATACTCATATATCTGCGAAATTTAATGTTAAATCCTCATCAGTTTCAAGAAATCGGTGAACCGAGCAGGAACCACTGTGAATTTCGATCCCGTACTCCCGCCTTACTTCAATTCAATTTTCAATTTTACGGTGTCATACAGCTCCTTCAAAAAACTGGGCAAATTGAGCGTACGGTGGACCGGGAGTTTACCGACGAGGAAGCCAAATATCGGACGTGTGTCCCTACATCTCCAATACACCTCATCTCAGTGAACTAAGTCAATGTCGCTTCTTCAGATATGAGAAAGAATGTCAAGCACTACAGAAGGACAGCAAAGCATACTGGGATGCGATGAAAGGTGCGTCCAGAAGTCACATATAATCTCAGCATACAGGCATGTCTAATAGGTTATACACAGCGATGACTGCGGCACAAACCCATATAGCAGAAACCCTGGAAATCTTCTACGGATCCGCAGATCGAACATCTGAAGGTGCAATGTCAGGTCATGCGTATAAGAGATCCGTAGATGATTTGGACGGAGGGTTTGGTCGTGAACTGGTCAGTCAGATTCTTCAATAATCATGATGAATACGATGAATATGATAAACGCGACTCGCAATATTTAAGCTTGATGTGCTCTTGACAACTCCTTTGACTCGAAATACTCAACTCTTTTACGTAGGACCTACCCTACCGCACGGCGATATCTGAACCTCTAGGGAAGATGTGTGCATACTTCCCAACTGTGAATGAACATATTGCGAAGCGGAACAAGAAGGTACGCACTTCCCGTCCTATGATGTACTTTCACCTGATTACATGCTCTTCATCACATTCATCACTCAGCTCCTCGATTACGACGCAGCACGAAGCAGGCTGAGAAAACTCATCGACAAGCCTAGCGAGGATCCTACGAAGCTTCCCAAGGTGTGGTTTTGCTGATCAACCTATATCACTTTCTTACATGTCGTACATTTCTCCCTCAAGGCTCAACAGGAGCACGACGACGCAAAAGAAGTTTTCGACATGCTGAACGACCAACTCATTGCAGAGCTACCACAGCTGCTCGACCTACGGGTGCCTTACTTTGATCCAAGCTTCGAAGCTATGATTCGCATGCAATCTAAATTCGCTGAAGAAGGATATGAAAAGCTCAGCGGAGTACAGAGGTGTGTTATGCATATTGTGCACCTGTTTAACCCACCACTGAATGTCGGACTTGATCTTCCAGATATTTCGATGACAGTGTCAGAGATGACTATGCAGCTGGACAATTGGACGCTCAGGTTACCCGTTCCTCCTTCAGGACTAAATCTCGTTACTGATTTTTACATCTAGGTAGAAGGAGTGCTCCAAGAGATGCGTGAGCTTTCGATATGTGGTGCTTAATTACAGAAACTACATTGAGGCTATTTGAGGGCACTGCGATCACCTGTTGGAATGCACAATTTATATCAAACTGTACTATCTTTACGGGGGACTTTACTTTAGACCTTTCGGTCAATAGATCTTTTGTAGCAACACCCACGGAACAATATCATTAAGCCACTAGTACTATCTACCCATTGCTCCTCCGCCCAAAGCACTTAATCGTCATCAGAGCCATCACGCGTTTCGATTACCAGTAAGTGTACAACAGGAGGATCTGAACGAATTCTGCAAACATGTGCACTGGAAAGACTTCAGGTGAGTTTCCAATTATGAGATACAACACACAACGATCATTTTCATGTAATTCAAAGGAATCACTGCATCCAAGTTTGTGAGAATAAAATATCAGGATTGATATTGAAATTTGTCCCAAACATCCTTCCAGCTCGGTCTTGGAGAGAACAAGGTCATCATCTATTTCGAGAATGGCTATCCCTAAGCCAGACATCTTGTCTGCGGAACCACACTGATCTCTGCCACTCCAAAATAATAGGCACAAAATCAAATAATCCGAAATCAGGCCAGTAGGTGTTACTGAAATGTAGCTGAGTATTTTCGCAACACTATACACGTAAGAGTTGTGTAAGTTGTATGATGAAACACGAAAAGAAAGAAGCCAAGCGAACGACGCAGGGACCACTAACCTGCCATAGCATGAAGTCACTCAGACGCTTCACCCCACTCGTACGCACAAGGATGTCTAGCGGTGGGCTGCCTTGTTTGACGGACATTAAATGCGAATTGATGGTATCCTCCGATATCTCCTCAATAGGATCATTTCTACGCGAATGAGAGTCAAGCACTATGTTTTGTGACACAAGGAAGAAACGCACGACATGAAATCGTTCGCAGGCGCTAGTACTTCTCGAATACAATCTTCTACTGCCGTGGTTATCTCGTCTCGCGAGGAATAGGGCATACAGACGTTGAGAATCGAGCTGAGGTAGTTGTTCAGTGAGATTACGAACAGCCGAGGAAGAATTATGGTGAAGCTCACCGATTATTTCCTTCCGTCAATTCTTCCGCCTTTCGAACTGCAGCTTGTACACTCTCCGGAAACAAACTCCTCCTTCCTATGACATTCAACTTGACACCGTATTCTTGTAGTAGATCACTGAGAACAAATGTGTAAGGGTCAATATTACGGTGTTTGCTCGAAGATAGGTCGAAAGGTCGAACACGCCCATGCACTCACCCATGGGAGCACAATTCCATTAACTTGCTCTCAGCTAGCTGCATAAGAGCGGTCACCTCCTCCTGAGGCCTCTTGAAGTTGTCTATCGCAAAAGCATACACCGACACACAGCGGATGTTCAGGCGGAGACATATCTCTAATACCTTCCATTAAAGCGAGACGGGTCATTCGTAAACGTGGATAGCAAAGATAGCACGAAACTCACCCTTCTTAATGCCAAATATCCATCTCCATGTCCTTCTTGCACCAGTTTTCCCTTACCCCTTGCGTATCTCCGGTTCCCGTCCATGACGAAGCCAACGTGTCGGGGAATTGATCCAGCAGCTAGTATGTGGAGGAGAGAACGCTGAGCCAGCCGCGTTATCCGAAGTTTCGCTAAAATCCATTGAAAAGGATACAGGATAGAAAGAAGGAAAACCAAGGTAAATGGCTTTGCCATGTGAAGAATAAGCGCTGGCCACGTTCATCCCTCTTTGAATTTCGATCTTTTGACAATTAATATTTGAATGCCTAACTGTATCACGTTGCAGAAATAGATACGTATGTTCAATTGACGACGAAAGTACGACGCCCGTCAGACACTAATGTACAGGTACTAACAAGAGCTTAAGTTAGAATGTGTTGCAGCTTCAACGAGAAAAGAAGAGTTCGAATAGTAAACGAACTCCTGGAGGGTTCCGGATTAGCCACAAGTCACAACCAGAAGGGATGAGCCTTGCGCTGACCAAAAAAAACTTAGTAGCTCAGGCGGTCCATAAGGGAGTTCTTTGCAGGTTGCTGGTGACGTTGACCAGGACCGAGATGAGAATGTGAATTATAGCTAGTTCCACCTCGTCCCCGTCCTCGTCCCCGTCCACGCCCATACCCTCGTACCGCCTGTCCGCTATGGCCTTTGAAAGTACCCTCGTAGCTGGAACCAGCCATCCGGGAAAGTAGTGGAGCCTTGTCAGCAGAGCCAGGGTCCAACAGTTTCTGGCGCTTGTTTGGGAGTTCAGGAGGTTGGGATTGATGATGAAAGGGAGGCGAAAGTCGTCTATTATCGAGAACCCAATCGTTGCGGTCATAAGAAGAAGAATAAAAGCCTTCTGATGTACCTCCCGAGGCATCATATCCATTTGAAAGGCGGGACTCGAGGGATGTAGGTATATCATTATAGGTGGGGGAGGAGTTCGGCGGGGAAAGACTTTCGTTGTACGCTTCGACCGAATGTTCAGAATCCGGATAGGAAGTGCGCCTCGAATTCTTGTAGCCATTTCGGCTGATAGACTCGGCCTGATGACTGTAATGATCTTGTCTAAAAGGCGGAGTGTCTCTCCTATCGTCATCCACACGAGAACGTTTCCTCCCAGTATGTGTCACAGGTGGAGACCTGGACCTAGATTTGAAAGTAGCTCGATTCGGCGGAGTATTGGTACGACCTCTGCCTCCGCCTCTTCGTATATCTTGGCCATTGCTATTAGATGGTCGACCAGAGTCAAGACCATATCCCAGAAAAGTAGAATTACCTCGACGATTCGGGCGAGAAGGAGAACGTTCACGTTGATCAGGAGAGGAAGAAAGTCGTCGGTCACGTTGAGTTTGTTCTCTATGTGAAAAAGGACTACCAATCGCCGAAGGTGGCGATCGAGGAATAAATGGTGATCCCTCCAAACTCATATGTCGACCAGAACCGATCGAATTAGGCGATGGGGAGTTATGATTGTGCCCTCTTCGACCAGACCGCGCTATATATTCAGAAGCAGAATCAGGTATACGAACATTAGCCCAACCTCCATCATTAGGTGCAATGGGGGAAAGTGAACGAATTGGGGCAGACATTTGAGAAACGGGCGAGGCAACTGCATTGGGACCAGCCCGAGAGACAGGACGATTCTGCGATTCTGATAGCGCAGTTGCAGGAGGTGGGCATACTGAGGTGTTAGGGGCAGTTAGGTTGCCCTGGGAAGTTGGGTGAGTCTGTGAGTTTGATGGTGCAGGTGCAGAAGGAGGTCGCCTAAAAGCACCGGTGACTAGACGAGCCTGAGAAGTTGGTTCTTGCAATGGCGCAGGAGCACTTGTTGAGGTAAGAGTAGGATTGTTTGCTGGTTGTTTGAGAAGAGAAGGAACACTGATGACACCTTTTGCTGAAGTTGACCTTGCTTTAGCCACATTGGGAGCTATGGGTGTGTAACCCAGTCCTGCTCCGGAAGCATCACCAGGAATGTATTCTGAAGAGTTCCTTGATTGATTACCAACCCTACTATGACCTTCCGCAGCGGGAGGCAAGACTTGTGGATTGCTAGTTGCCTCCAACAGTGGTGTAGAAAGATCGGGCGTAGGATGGGATACAACAGGGATCGTCATTTTGGCTGGTGAGCGTAGGCATTTCATTGAATCTCTGTCATCATCTTCATTCTTGAACATCGGTATATCATACTCTGGTTTCGACTTCCTTATGGCTAGCTTTCTTTCTCTCCAATTTGCATTTGAATCAGAGCTGGTGGAGTTATCCATCCCTGCTCCCGCTCCCTTTACGACAAACCGCATATTCGCGGCCCGTACCTCCGGAGATTTAGGTGCTGAACTTTGGAGGAGGATGTTCCCGGCATCAGTTGAATTGGTGTGAAGGATGGGAGAATTCGAACTTCTCGAAACGCTACCGTCAATGAGCCCCAGAGAGATATTATTTCTAGGAGAATGAGGATAGTTGCTGACACTAGTCCGATGATCAGGATTCAATGGCATGGATTGGGTCGTAGGGTTCTGACGAACCCCGGAGGCAGCAGTCGGAAGGGTGACCTTGCTTGCTATCAAGGAAGGCGATTCAGTCGGACCAAGAGGTACATTCCCAGAAACAGGCTGTTGCTGCGCAAGCGCTTCCGCTTTCCTCGCCTTTTGTCGCTGTTTTTTCGTCAATTTCGGTACAGTCTGATTTGCAATAACATTAGGAGTCGTCGGGATGGAGGAAAAAAGTTGAGGTCTGGATGGAACCGAGGACTTGGGCAGGGCTGACGGGTTAAAAGGCCTGGTGGAGGTGGAGGTGAAGGTTGGCGATACAACTGAGGGAATACTTGGGATGATCGGTACACTTGGCAAACCTATATTACCAACGGGGGTCGCGCGTTGGCTACCAAGCTTTCTACCAGCCTGCGATTGTTGCAGTGCTTCACGCCTCCGTTGTTGCTCATCAATCGCTGCTTGCTTCCATGCCTGTGCCTGCTCTTGTTCCTGCTCGAGTTTCAATCTAAGCTTTTGCTCCCGTTCTTCAATAGCTTTCTTCCTCAGCTGAGCTTCGACGAGCTCTTTCTCCGCAGCTAGGTTTGCAGCTTCGCATTTCTGTTTTTCTTCCTCTAAAGTATCACAGCGTGCTCCTTCGGCAGCAGCCATGTCGCTCTGACGGCGTTCGTTCTCCTCTTTGCGTCTCCGGTCCTCTTGCTCAGCCTCGAGCCTTTGTCTTTCTTGTTCCGCTGCCTGACGTTGGCGAGTCTCCTCGGCTTGTTTGTACTCCTCTCTTTGTCTGTTCTTATCCTTCATGACTCTCTCCATCTGCATCTCCTTTTCTTCTCTTGCTCTGCGTGCGGTGTTCTCGATCGTCTTGAGCTTCTCAATCCAGGCATCGGCTTTTTCAAGAGAGTCGAGAGAGTCAAGAGCAGAGGTTGAGGCGTCAATGCTGAAATTGAAGGAGGAGTTCACCGATAAGGAATCGGTAGCATCGACCAAGGCAGCAGGAGCATGAGATGTCGGCGGGTCGTGGGCAGTGATGCATGAAGGACCACTCATGATTACATGATTGACATCGTTCGTGAGGTTGAAGAACCTTGCCACCGGTCCCCGCTTCTTCTTATTTCCTCGTTCCTGCGCTTCATTTGCCGACTTCTCCTTCTTCTGGTCCTCTATCTTCTCTTGCGCCTCTTCCCTTCTCTCTTTTGCCTCTCTCACCTCTCCTGCTTTCTTTTCCCTTGCTTGTAATTCTTTCTCCGCCTTGGCCTTTGCCTCTTTCGTCAACCTCAACCGCTGTTGCTCCTCATCAATCCACCCACCAATCCTCTCTGTAGCTTCCTTCATTTCTGCGATACCTTTCGCGTGCTTAGTTTCGTAGGCTGCTAGGATCTTCATGCTCGTTTCCACAAGGGAAATGGCCTTGTCCGCTGTCTCGTGCGAGTCCTTCCCAGCCTCCAAAGAATCAACTAATGTGGAAGATGCTGTTTGAGTGAGTTTTAAAGATTCCTGCGCAAGATTCTGTGCACGGCTGGCGCATTCGAAAGCAGATGCTAGTTTAGCAGATGCTTGCGCAATTGTCTCAGAGGATTCCGAGCTCAGGTCATGGAATGTGGATAACAAACGAGAATGTATTTCGTTAAGAGCCGCAAACGAAGGGCCAAATGATGTTGGCGTCGGGGCAGAAGATGAGGAAGAGTCGCCTTGGGTCAACGACGAAAAATTCAAGTGGTCCTTGGATGGAATATGAACAGCTGCTCTAGCCAATTCAGATTTTACAACAAAGGGGGAAGGAGGCTGCTGCGGACTTTGTGGGGTGGACATGGGATACGTGAGATCAATATGAGAAGAATTCGACGCGCATGAACTGGCTCGAGAGATTGTTGATTGGAAAGGAATAGAGGGAAGGTCAGAGGGAGGTTTGGATATAGGGATTGAAGATGAAGGCAATGATACAACTTCATCAACAGCATTATTGCCAGTAGAAGTACCAACAACTGACTGGGAGACGGTTGTGGAGTTCATAGAGTCCACTGGACGGACAGACGGTAAAACAAATGGAAATCGTTGACCAAAAATATCCACTTTAGGCCCATATTGAACAGGCACAGATGTGACTTGTTCATTGTTCCCTAGAGTTTGAAATAAAGTGCGCCTAGATGGCACAGATGATATGGCGACCGAAGAAGTGTCCACCTCTGCTGCGGTTGGCACGGAAGTAGACCCTTGCGACACATCTATGTCATGGGTCTGCGTGGAATGATCCTGATCATCGTATTCGTTGGAATCCGAAGTCTTCACAGAAGACAATCGTTTCAAGAGTGAGATTTGGTTGTCTGACTGACTTTTCCCTATAGATTGAAATTGGAACCCGGAGAAATTTGGTGATGCTGTATTTCCCATGATATAATCGTGTTCTCTTCTTCTTCTTACGGAAAGAGAAGCTCCCGGTGCTAGCTTACGGTAGCACCTGGTAGCACGATTCTGTGTCGAAACTGCACAAAAGATGTGAGATGGGAACACGAATTTACACAAGACAAAGGAAGATTTCTGACACTGTGTGTGCTTGGAGCAGCAGGTTTTATGGAGGTTCTGGATGATACACGATGATAGTTCGTGGTTCGGGAACAAAGAAGACGGGCGCCAGTTTGAATTAAGGTTAATCTGAGCATTATGGTTAGAATAGACGCCAGAAAGCGCCAGAACTTCTCAATTGCACTTCTCTTGAACGCCAACATTGCCTGAACGATATGGTCTCGTGGAATCAAGGACCTAGATAAATAAATAGATAGATACACGGGGCCGCCCGAAGGTGTGGTCTCAGACCGGAACAGCCGGTCTCGATGGACCAACCTAGTGAAGTATCTTCTACAAGAACAATTCCAACATTTCTCGGAGGATAGCGTCAATCAATGCCATTCAAAAACCCCAATGCAACTCTTTCTTTACAGTGAAACTGACTGACCACAGTGGATTACTTATGGAAGCTCAGAACGATGCAAGGGGACTGATGGGTGTGCCCTCGCTCAACCGTGATAGGCTTCGTCAAAACATTAAAGAATTTAGGTTTGATACCTTTTTCTTCGACCACCATCATCTTGCTTTTTCCCACGCTAAACAGCTGAACGCTGGGGAGAAAAAAAGACCTCGATAGTGGGTAACGTAGAGCAAAATCGAAGAAACCTTATCACGTACCGAGCGAAAAAAGGGCAAACGAAAGTTCTATCACAAAAGCAAGCATGTCGTCGCCACCAGAGACGGACAAGCGAGGCCTCTCCGCATTGACAAATCAAGAACAGGGAGCGCTGTCGACCGAAGGCTTTGACGGCCCTGCGAATGGGGCTTTGCAGACGGAGTGGACTGTTGGTGAGGACCGAGGCTCAGAAGACAAGCAAGGCCCTGCGGGAAGCAAGGAGACCGATGATAGGAGAGCTACACCCGAGGCGAAGACAGTGGGAGAAGGCTTGGTGAAGGACGGTGGTCACGAAGAAGACACAAGCTCGAGTGTTGAAGGCGGCAGAAGGGTTGGCGAGAGCTTCAATGGGTCCGCGGACACTGCTGGGACTGTGGTGGAGTCGCCGAAAAAGACAAAGAAAAAGGCTGGGGCGCAGGCAGCGCCAAAGGCGAAGGCGAGAACAGCGCGAAAGTCGGAAGTGGGGGGGGAGAAGGGCACATCGGACGTGAAGCAAAAACCGCGGACGCGTGGATCGACCGCCTCTCCGGCAGCCAGGACGCTTCCCTCAACAATGTCAGCAGCAACAATAGACCACGATGAGTCCGGGGACGAACCTTTAGCAACATCACTGCTTCTCTCTCCTATGTCGGAGGCGCCGGAGGCTACTGTGGATCCACTAGGTAATGCGACGATGGAAGCGCGTGTGGAGAAGGAGTATGGTATTGATTTGGATATGAGCTCAGTCTCGAAGGTTGTCCAGGTGGCGAGCAAACTTAAGAAAACCACTATCGCGGTTGGGGGATGGCAGATGGAGATGCGGAATGCGTTCCGGGACGAGACATCAACTCTGCGTCAAGATCTCAGCAAGCTAGAGGAGCGAGTGGCTAGAGCGGAAAAAGGCCGGGCTGGTAGCGAAAAAGTGGGGGAGTTTGTTCTGCGACCGGAGCTGGTGCTGCTCAAGAGCAGGGTGCAGAACGTCGAAAAGGTGGCATTGAAGATGCCGACTGGGAGCGAGATTGACGGAAGGCTGGCAGTGGCACTAAAGGGAGTAAAGGAGGACATCGCTGAGACATGCGGCGGGATACACGGGGAGATGAGGGCCTTGCGAGGGATTGTGAAGAATGATGTGAAGGTTGTCAGCAAGGAGGGAAGGGATGAGGGCAGAGCAGTGCGTGCGGAGTTGAAGGTCGAGATCCAGCGAGTGACTGCAGTTATGAAGGAGAGTCTCAAAGAGATGCAGGGGCGACTGAGGCAGGAAATGGAGAGTAAGTGTAACGAGCAGAAGAAAAAAGCGGAGGCGTACACAGCAAAGGTGGAGGATGTTGTAAAGGATTTGGTGGCGAGAATTGAAGTCCTGGAGAGGCAGAATCGAGAGCTGGAGGGCAAGAACAGAGACCTTGAGCGCAGGGTTGAAAGGGTGGCACAAGAAAAGAGGCAGGAAGAGGAGGCACAGGTGGAGAGGATGTCGGAAAGGGCGAGAGAAGTTATGGGTTATGGGGCACAGAGAAAGAGGCTGGGGGAGGATGAAATGGTGTATGAAGGCCGTAGTGGGAAGTTCCCGCGTGGTAACGGCGCGGAGTCAGTGCATGATATGGGCGGCAGGGGTAGTGAATGGAGCAATGATAACCGAGGGAGTGGTCAGAAGGACTATCGACGGAATGATTCTCACACTCGTGGAAGCTATCAGCATGATCAAGGGTATGGGGCACCACCACCACGTCTCGCACAACCACCGGCATTTGCACCAACCGCCCCAGCTAAGGACAAGCAGGACTTGAAGTTGGCCATCGGGGTGTTTCGAGGGCAGTATGCTACGGCCGGCGTGGGTGATCAGATTGCGCTCATTGCAAAATCTGTTCCAAGAAGTGTCATTCCTGGGGATGTAAGGAGAGATGAGTACCGGTTCGGGGTCTTGGTCATGACATTCCGGTCATATAACGAGAGGGACGCATTTACCAAGGAATGGAGCGCAGGTTATAAAAACTCGCTGAGTGAGCGGGAAGGATTGAAGCTCCGGGGTATAGGGGAGGATTTTTAGAGGGGGCTGGGGGTCTCTCGCAGGTCAATGAGGTTGAATCTGAACAAACAGAAGCGGGGGTAGATAGTTTCAAAATATATACTGAGGTAAACTTCGCCTCTTGGAATGTTCATGGAGACCTTATTGTAAAGATGCTCAGCCCAGATTTTAAGATGCTTATAGGGGAGTATGATGTTATTGGTTTGCAGGAAACACATCTATGTCCTGAGGAGGAAGATGCTATGGCAAAGCTTCAAGGGTATCAATTCTTTGCTCAGTCAAGGAAGGCAGCTGAGCCATGGGAGCATCAGCATGGAGGAGTGTGCGCATTTGTACGGAATAACATCCAGGTCAAGAAATCAAGCCTATCTGTGCCAGACATTCTGGTACTGGATTTGGGCACAACATGGCTTATTGTGGCATATGTACTGCCAGCGTCTTCAAAGTATACTCACTTTTCGGAAATTGCCCCAGAGGAGAACCTCTGGACTATTATCAGGCTGTGTCGGTTGTCAAATAAACCTGTGATAGTGATGATGGACTTGAATGGTCGGATTGGGTCTAACATTCCGATATATACACACAGACCAAGAGTATCAAGTGATGCCATAGAGAATGCACGGGGTCGGGCTTTCATGCAGGTATGTTCTCAGGAACATATGTCAGTGATAAATGGGACTGCGCTGGAGGTCAACAAACCGGGTGCCTACACATCACATCAGCACAATGGGAAGGCTGTGGTTGACTACTGTGTAGTGTCAAATGACATGGTGAATGCAGTAAAGCATATGAGAGTACATGGTAATCCAAAGCAGGAGGAAGATAGGTGGTCAGATCATTCTATGCTCTCAATGGCAGTGGAGTTGTCACTCACACCCAAGGCCAGTGCAGTGAAGGGGCAGGGGAAAATGACATTCAAAATACAGCCTCTACATGAACCTACAGATATACTTTATAACAAAATTCTGGCAAGTGCTCTATCGGAAGAAGAGGCATTGAAACAATACTATGGGGATTTCTACTATGCCAACGATCCAGTCACAGTATATACAGATGGGTCATGTCTGGGTGGGGGAACTGATTCTGCACAAGCTGGTGCTGGAATATGTTATGGCCTGAACTCAAGGAGGAATCAAAGTGTGCGAGTACCAGGACCTGGAAGACAAACAAATAATAGGGCAGAGTCATATTCAGTGTACTTAGTCCTATTTGAAATGGATCCAAAGAGGCCACTGATAATATACACAGACTCAGAGTATATTATTAGGCAATGCTGCTACTGGGCTGGCCGCCACTTGGCCACGGGGTGGAATATACCAAATGGCGATATACTCAAGGACATCACACTTCTACTTAAAGAGAGAGCAGCTTCAACCAGATTTGTATGGGTCAAAGGCCACAGTGGAAACCAGAATAATGATGAGGCAGATAATTTAGCCAAGAAGGGTGCTACAATGGATTTGCCAGGCAATTATAGGCCACTCAAAGAGGTACCATGGAAGTGTAACACCTCCTGCCTAGTACCACTAGAAGGGGACAAGGTCTCAAGTGCTCTACCCAAAGATGTAGGGGGGGAGAGAAAAGCAGGGGTTGAAGATGTGAGACAGGGTGAAGTATCACACAGAGGAAGGTCAAAAGTTGCAAAAATTCAGGAGGATAACCTAAAGAAGTTACAAAACTGCAAAACTATTGCACAGTTCTGGTCCTTATATATCAACTGGATGGATGGCAAAGCAAAGGAAATGGAAGTGACCATGGAACAGTTGCTTAGGGAATTCCGGTCACGCATGCAGAGCCCAGTCATTATCCCACCAAATTTAGATGCAAAGTATCTGGCACTGTGGAAGCAATGGGAAGCAATGATACCAGAAAAAAATGTGGATACAACTGAGCAGAAATTCTTTAGCCGTGCAATACAGGAGGAGGAGATTGAGGAAGCAAAGGCACATATTGCAATGAAGAACCTAGACAGCTCTGTAGGTGTGGACCAGGTGGATTATAAACTGATTATGAAGATCCCAAATGAGAATTGTGTGAAGTTGTTGAACCACTGTATAGAGAACAGGACTGCTCCATCGGCATGGCTAGTTGCATTGGTAGTGGGCATACTGAAACGGGGGAAGGAGGCAGATGACCCTTCAAGCTATAGACTGGTGGTGCTAGAGTGTTGCTTTCTGAAAATGCTCACATTAATTATTGACAGAAGGTTGAGGGAATATGCAGAGCACCAGGATTTACTGCCATCAACCCAGAATGGGTTTCGGCCAGGTTATCGAACTACAAATAATCCATTTATTCTCAAGACCATGGTTGACACAGCTAAGGCAATAGGAAAGCCATTATATGTTGCATACATGGATTGGACGCATGCCTTCCCACTAACAAATAGACCAATGATGTGGATGAAGCTGAATAAAATGGGCATCAGGGGACCACTGATTGATTGGCTGCGGCTGATGTACCAAAAGTTGGGAAATGTGGTTCAGGTGGCAGATTCCTTCTCAGAGGCATTTA